CAATAATCATTCCCAAGTGAAAATACCCTTTCAACAGCAGCATTCATGCCTGGACAACATAAGGAAATATATATTCAAACTAAATTATTCAAATGAGTACTTTCAGAGTACAAGATTTGAACTCAAAACTCAGTAAATGAGTATAGTTGGTCACCTTAAACTTTAATTTACTAGGTTTTATGTGTGGTACTGGCTCACAGTTTCAGGACTCGATAGAAAAATGCAAGGTCTGGGGTTGATTCTTTTAAAACATTCTCTTAGTTTATTGTGAATACATACTCTGTTGGTGCAACAACCTCAAGTTTTTTCCCTTCGAAACAAGAGAATGCCATCTTCGATGATATTGGGTTACTGATTGCCAAGTGTCAGCTTGGAGCTTGCATAAGTCCCTCTTCAGCAATATCAGATACCCAAATATGCTTTCTTGACAACTACATTCTCCCATACTCACTTGGTGGCGAGTCCAGCTGAGTCTGTTTGCTTTGCTCATTGATTGCTACTCCCATAATGTTTTTATTAGGTTACCATCTGCTTAAGCTGTTCATTTTGAACCCAAGAAAGATAACCACGTATAATTTGTATATCATATGCTTATGAATGTGATTGTAAGCCATAAAAATATGCAATTAACTTAATGATAAATAAAAAAACAAGACTATACATATATTTTAATTATCAAAATCTTTTATAATCTAAACACAGCTCTTTTAACCCTAAAACAATTATTGGACAGTCAATTAATATAGTGAAATTATAGTTAAACACGTAATAAAACACTATAAGAACATTATGTATAATATTATTAGAACAAAAATAGCTTTTTTAATTCAAAAAATATATAAACACCTCTGTTAACTAAGTCATATGTAAATTATTCATTACTAAACTCTAATCAGTCTCAAACGTTAGAGATCATAAATACCTATTTAAAGAAATAAAATCTGAAAAATAAAGTTTATGAAAAACTTAAGAAGAGTAACAACTTAAAATTATTATTTGGAACTTATTGGTCACAAAATAAATTAATAAAATAGGAAAATTGCAAGAAAAATTACAAGTTCAGAACTTCTTGTTTTGGAACATATCGAATAGGATTTTTGCCTCTAAGTCTTCGTTGGTATTATTAGCTTCATTGTTAGAATGTTCTTCCAAGCTTATCTCATCCTCATCATCATTATTGTTCACTGTACTATAGCAAACATGGCACACAAAAAGATCTATTGTTATGTCTTCTGGTACATGTTCTTGGTGTTTGTGAGGAACACATTTTACGTGAAATATCGAAGAGCACATATCACAATACAAACGATTGCTGATTTTTGTTGGTTTTAAACATATTTTGCAGGTGTTTGTACTTTCCTTTATTTTCTTTTTTCCTGACTTTACATTATTGTTTTTTCATTTTGTTTTCTTCTCTTACTCTCTTTCTTTCTACTTTTATTTTCAATGCTGATTCTTTTTTCTCTTTTTGTTCTTTAAACATACTTCTGTACTTGTCTGATGTTATTGCGTATGGAAACCTCACTGTATTTCTTTTACCTTTTCTTTCTGGTGTTTTAGGCATTGTCAAAAATGGTGCAAATTGACTGTTAGATTTAATTTTAAACGCAGGACTTTTTCAACTAAACTCACATCATCAGATAAATTTTCTTTTTCTTGTTCTTGCAACACAGGAGTATTTGTAGCATTTTCCTTGACTGGTGTACTAACCATTGGTATAGTTGGTTGAAAATCTTGTGAAAGTTGTTCTGTAGCCGAATTATTATTGCAAAGAATAAATTTTGGGTGCTCTGGATTATCAAATCTCATTTCCTGACATTCATAGTTCTCGGTAGCCATAGTTAGTTCTGAAGGAATATCTTGAAAGTCCTTGTTAGTATTAGCATTGGATTCTATGGGAGATAAGTTTAAATCAATTAGATCTGAAATTTGTATCAAATCGTCTTGTGGTATTCGCTCTTGGACCTCTGAATCAGTTTCAAGCGCTTGGTGAGTAGTATCCTGTGCTATAATTGAAGTTTCAGGTATTGGTGAACGACGTCTTTCTGAATTTGAAGATGATGATGTAAATGCATCGTAAATACTATGTCAAATTTGGAAGGATCAAGGATACCAGCGAAATTAACTTTTGTTATTGACTCACCTGGATTATTCATAAGCCAGGTCCTTGCTGTATCTTTCCATGCCGCCTTAACCGGCCGAAAAACAGCTACGTCAGCCGACTGTAGAATGCGTGTTGCATTTGGGTACAACGCTATAAGCTCAATGCCCAATTCTTTACGTAATTTACTTACACTGTAGGTGAGATGGGTTTTGTGTCCATCTAGAAAATATATGACTGGCAGTGCTACGCCTTTTTGTAGTAAATATGGGTAGAAAACATTTCCTATATATTCAAAAAACAGTTCTGAAGTCATCCACCCATTATCACTTCGTCCTACACCCCAGTCTTTTGGAATCCAATCAGAAATTTTTTGTGGAATTCGCTGGTAGTTGTAGACAACCATGGGTGGACAAGCTTCTCCAGAAGCTGAGAACGTAAACATAATCGTAATTGACTCTTTGGAATTATTAGTGTCTATGCTGTATACATTTTTAGTTCCTTTGACAGCTAGTACTTTCCCTGTTTTTGGGCACAACTGAAAACCACTTTCATCCCCATTGAATACTCGAGTAGGGTCATCCAACAATTGCAAAAGACCAATTCCTTCTAAATACTGGTGTATCTCAGCAAACCATTTCCGAATATCTTGTTCTGAGAATTTGCACTAGACTGAGTAACTCCTTCACTAGTCCGTTGGACAATGTTAGGGTGTCTTTTTAAAAATGCTTTTACCCACCCATCCCCAGGATAATTATCCTTAAAAGGATTTGGCCGTGGATTTTCCTCAAGAAATTTGGATACACTACGTTTCAAATTTTTAATTTTTAAAGGAAAACCCTTCTTCATTAACCTTATAATCCAAAGTTCTAAGATAGACTCTTCATTATTTGTTAAAACTGGTTGCGGTACGAAGGAAGTCCTATGATCAGGATTTTTTAATTTAAAATGCAGTGTGGACTTTGGAATGTCATATTTTCTGGCAATTTCTCTTATCTTTGGGTTTTCCGTTTCCTGTAATTCCCTGAGTGCTAAAAGCATATTATTAGAGTCATAATTTTTCTTTTTTTCCCTTAGGCATTTTTGAGACTTCAACCTGCAAGCAAACAATTATTGGACACAATAAGTGACAATTATTGGACAGTGTCCAATAACTGACAGAATAGTCTGTGATACTTGAAATTGAAAGTACGTCATAAGGAATTTAAATGTTTAAAATGAACGCAAAAAACATCATAGAAACTCAAAGCTAAATAGTTATTGGACACTGTCCAATAATAGATTTTTTCAAATTGTACCATACAATTACTGGACAGGTGAGAATAACCTCAAAATATAACATTTATGAGATAAAAGTCCATTTATCATGAAAATTGTATGATATCTTACCAATCTCCGAGGTGCCAAAACAATATCAATCACCACTATGCCAAAATCGTAACAAAACTCTAGACTCAACCTTATAAAAATAATTATTTTTCAAGACAATTATACGTTTCCGTGACAGCCGCCGGGAAATATTTTTTTTGACAGTTTACTACTGACATCTGTTACAAAATATATGAACTATAACAATGTTAGGAACTTATAGATTTAAGTAATAGATGTCGCTTTGTATTTGTTGTTATCTTATTTTTAGCAAATCAAAAGGGACTGTCCAATAACTATTCAGTGTCCAATGACTGTCTGTTTACCCTACACCATTTTGTTAGGCTTCGGTTTGAACAACACTAATGTCAATGGCCAATCATAACAAAACATGCATGTTCCTACAGGCCTAGAATGCGTTATTTTCAGGTTTTCAGGGAATTCCCATTTATTAGATCTTATTTTACCTCTCAGTCAGGTTGTATGCGTGCTTTAGTAAATTTCTTGCTAAAGGAACTGACACGAACCAGTTATCGCAGGTTACATGTCTAATGCTTCCGTGGATTGACTTTGTTAGTTCCTTCACGTAAAATTCGCCAAGTGGCAATCTATTGGTCTGAGTGCATTTACCCAAATATGACATAGTGTCAATCATGGAACGAGTGGCACTGTCGGTTTGTTCGGGATGTACCTACAAACGGAAGGGACACCGAAAACCTAGAAGTTCTTCTATGGTCACGTACGGTGCAGGGATGTAGTTTGACTAATTGGAATAAACGTATCAGTAGTTCTTCGTTCTGGCCGCAAACTTTTAGTATCCATCCACAAGCACCTTATCAGAAAATCAAATCTATCTCTACTCATAGCAGCAACATATCTGTTTCCTGAATACGAACAAACAAATAGCTCATACGTGGTCAAATGATTGTCAATATGCCTAAAAGAGCTCTAATCTATCGCTGGATGTTGGTTTAAACGCTGCTTTTGCATCTGGATTTTGTGTTTTCAGCTGGATTTCAACATTAGTCCAATTAGTTATCTCTTTCACAATATCGTCGGTTATAAATACTGAAACATTCGAAAGGTTCGTAAAGGCCTTTGTACATTCGACTAGGTCCCCTAGATGTCAGTCCCCACTGGTTCTTCCTTTGGTAGCTGTCCAACGATGATTGTTTTTGCCTCGTGAGGTTTTGACGCATAACAATTTAAAAATACCTCAGTCATTTTCTTGATTGGCTGTGGCATTTCGTGGGATAAAAATCTCCGACATTCTTTTAGGCGTTGGATATTAATATCACGATAAAGTGTATTTCTCAGCCTAGCGGAAAAGCGATCGTTAACCTTTGAGCGGATCAAAGAAATAAACAAAATTTTTTATGCCAAAGGTTTTTTGTATTTTTGACAAGTTTACTACGAACTGGCACATTAATGAGCGATGAGGTTTAGTAATTATTAAACAATTATGTTAAGGTGAAACGACGCCAAAGTGGCGGAAAAAAAAACAGGTTGGTATGAGTATACATTAAGTATATTAAACAGGGATGTCACGTTCATCAGTGTCAGTTTCCCAATCGTTTTCTGATGTGCACGAGTCTGTCACATTTATTATAAAACTGTCTACAGTTTTATCTATACTGTCGTCCAGTCTATTTAATTTTTGTTCCTCTTTTATTACGTGTTCAACACAGTTCTTCCACTTTAACTGATTTATATTATTAAGTCCTTCAAGCAACCTTTTCACATCAGCCATTTTAAAAGTTGTATTATCTCTTGCCACATGGCCTTTTACATCAGCCCAGACTAGCTCAATCGGATTGAGCTCGCAGTGGCAGGGTGGTAAGCGTAAAACTTCAATCCCAGACTGTTTAGCCATTTCGTCGGTCACGTAGGATTGGTATCTTTCCTCCACATTTTTAACTTTTTCTAGTAATTCTGATTTCGTCTCCTTAACTTCAAATGTTATTTCTTTTGAAGATAGCCAATCTTGGAAGGCTTGCTTTTTCCAACTGGTGACCGGCACACGTTCTTGGCGCCTAGAATGGTAGCTTGGTAGCTTGCCAATGCCTAAAATATCGGCAGTCTTCTTTTTTTATGTCCATTTTTGATTTATATTTTATCAGCAGGCCATGTTTCTTGTACATATTTGAAAACATTCACAATCATATTTTTTTCGTTTTCTGAAATATGTGACACCTTGCGCTTCTTATGTTGTGTGACGTAAAGTCTTTTAACGGTTTTGATGTCGACGGACCTGGCTCCATGTCGCATCAAATGTTGTAAAACTCCGTAACACAAGTCAGACACGAAAAAAAAAGTAACAAAACACAAACTTAACAATAGAACAAATAACTATACTTTATAACCAATATTATCCACCCACACTCGACGAACTCGCAAAGCGGAATGCGCCGAACAAGCGCCGCCGACCGAATGCATGCCTCTCCCTTCCTCGCAAGCACCTCGCTCGTCCGTAGCACGTTGAAACAGTTTTCTTATCTCTGACTGACCGGAGCTCTCAAACCCACCCCCTACCCCCACCTATAAACACGCTTCGATATCCAAACGATACAGAAGTAAGGAGAGTGACGGAGTGCGACACGAATCGATATATTTTTACGGTAACATAGTACTTCGTGTCAATGATCGCTTTTCCGCTAGGCTGAGAAATACACTAAAGAAATTGTTTAATTTTTTCAGAACTCATTTCTTCCGTGACGTCCTTAAAAAAATATAAAATCTGGTTCGATAATGACATAATTTCTATATCATCATTATTTATGTTTGCTATCTCGGGGTATTCTAATGTAATTACAGTCATAATAAATTTTTTGTTACGAACATTTGAGAAAACATATCTAAAGTTGAGTTCCAGCGGGTTACCACGTCTTGCTTAAGCTTCAACTCTTTTTTCCTCTAATTCTTTTTGCATAGTTTTAAGTCTTTCCGACGCAAGTGGACTTCGTCTCAAATGTTCTACTATGCTTTTAATTTTAATCTGCGTGGATTTAATTTCTTTTAAAGCCAACTGTACCATTATATTTAAAATATGAGCAAAACATAGAATCTGCTTCCACTTAAGTACCTAGTCTTACGGCTGCTTTTATATTATTAGCATTATCCGTTGTTACAGCTACAATCTGATTTGTGATATTCCAGTCCTTACAGATTCTCATTATTTCCGAGAATTGCTAACATTCTAATACTTTTGATTTTAGTTCAGTTTTATCATTAAGGAAATGAGCTGTAAGTGATATGTAGTGTTCATTTGGCTTTGAAGTCCATCCATCTGTTGTTAAAGATATGAATTACAATCTAGCCTATACAATAATTATGGCTAATAAGTAATATTATGTTGACTTAATTTTCTACAATACTAGTGAATAGATTAAACTAAAGTAAAGTTTGTTAACAGTGTTAGTGTTATATAATGTTTAGACAGCTTGCTAGTTAGTGGACTGTGAAAAGTGTGTTTAAGATTTATATGTATTTAATGACAGGAGTATCTGAATAGTAAATGTAATGTATGTATAAGCAAGCTGCACTAAATGACTAAATATATGAGAGGGTGAGACGTAAGAACCTAACAACCCTACGGATCCCTAAGCCCTACAGACGTACCCTAACACATAAATAGTGAATATATAAATATATAAATAAGTACGGGATGTCTGCACCAAGAGACCTAAGGTAACAGACGGAGCCCTACGGGTAGGATCAAAGGTTCGAGGTAGTGGGATTATCTCAAAGCTACCGGGCAGGCTCACCACGATAATTAAGGGCTTGAAGTAGTCTTCGCCACTTTGAGAGGAAGCGAGAAATGAACAAGACAAAGCAATATTCAAATCTGATTTATTGTTATAAAACAATACCTTAAATACTAATTACACCTATTCACACATACATGGTATTTTTCTAGTGAGCTGTTGGTGTATCGCACAACCTCAGCTATTATTATTTGGAACACATATGAGCAGTGTCAGCAGCTGATCAATATTTAAATAAAATAAAATTAAAATTGCTCTTCAGCTGTTAATATTTAGCACACACCGGATCCATGTCAGCAGTTCGTTCATGTTCAAATGATGAAATCTGAACAAATGTTTAGACACTATTTTCGTGTGTCCGAGATACCGCACTTGCACTTATATTCACTACACTTTTTAACTCAAAAGGTTTACTTCTCTTTATGCGTTTTATTCCTGTTGTATCAAGAAGTTTATTGCCTCAGCATTTACATGGCTATATAGCCTGTTTAAGTGAGCTAAGGCAAACTGTTTCGCCGTATTTAGAATTTTATCCATATTAAGATCCTCGTGGATACTTTCATTTTTAATATACCATGGTGCATTGACAATGCAGTGCAATGACAATTAGCTCTTGTTGGTGTTTAAGAAGGCCACTTGCGTTTCAGGCCATAACTTTTAGAATGTTGGTCATTTTTGGGCATTATGTAGTATTTTTACTTCTTGTATTATTTTGTTCTTAAAGACATTATTTTGTGGAAAGCTTCTAAGAAGTTAAGTATTCTGTCCAGTTTTAAATAAAATTACGGAATGCGTTACTTTCAACAATGTTTAGAGGCAAATAAGTTTTACAATAAGGTCTACTAAATTCTTGTAAGGCTGTTCAGATTTTTTGGCATACGTTGGTTTAAACAAAAGGGTTAGTTTTGTATTAGTTATTTCACTGATTTTTCTATAGTAGTTCCAAATTTAAACAAGCGGTGTCCAAAGCAATATTTAGTCCCGTCAAAGAGTTTTCAGGCTGCGAACTAGCAGGCAGTGAAAGGCAAAATGTAAAAGGCAGTGGAAATTTAGAAGTAGAAGGCTGCGATACGTCATCTTCAGTTTTATTATTATTGTATGATGTTGGGATTTTGAGTCGAGTTAAGTTGTAACGACTATCACCTTTCAAGAAATAAAAAAACAAACCATTTCTAGAAAAATTACTTGATTTATGAAATAAATAAATCAATATATCAATAGAATTGCAACTTCAACATAAACTATTTTATAAAATTAAATGAAACTTTGGTGATAAAGAATGCAATTCTTGCAAGCGGCACCTAATACCGAACGGACTCTTTTTTCATCCACGGCAGACATCTATTGGACAAATCTGTTACATGGTCCACTAGAACTTGTTCATACTCTTCTTAGTGAATCTACCCATCTTTGGTTGTTCTCTCACCCGAACAATTTGTCGCTGGTGTACGTACACATAGCCATGTGAACTTATATATCCAAGTATGGATAAATGTTCTCCAAATTCTGATTTCGCAGAAATAATGATAGACTTTTCGATGATCCAGAATCTGGTTTTATCAAAATTCTTTCAGGAGAAAGCCTTGAAAGTGTACGCATTTCTGAACTAGTTCAGTTTCAGGCCATAAGGTCCAATAGGGTGTCTCCTCTGGGATTGTTTCTATTGAAACGGCGGCCTCCCCAGCATGAGTTCCATGCGTCGAAATCCCCGCATACCAAGGTATGTGTGTTTTTGTGGTGTAAAAGGAAATGCTCCAGCGCATGCATAGTGTCGTGGGCGTTGTTGTCTGGCTCAATATATTGAGGCGACGTAAAGTTTAATTGTGGGTAATACCAACAATAATTATTAAATTGCAGTGCAGTATTGTGACAGCGCGTATGCGTTGATGCTTTATTTGGTGTAAATTCAGGCCTTCGTTCTTCCGTCCGTGTTGGACTGAAATAGTTGGAGGCCTGGGATATCCCATAAACATATGTTTAGCTAATTCGTTGTTACTGGTGTATGGCTATTGTGTACAATTATTGCAACTCCGTTCTGTTTAATATTATAATGTTTTTTTTTAAAGATTTGTGTTGAGGTTTAAACCATGTTTCACTAATAATTGCTATGTGTATATTTTGATTGTAAAGAAAATCCATAAATATATGCTTATTACTATTTAAACTTTGAGCATTCCATTGTACTATCTTCAATTCGGACAGATCCATTAGGAGGTTAAGGAAAATTGATTGTTAAAGGACGTTTTCAATGTTTCTTTTATCGATGCAAACTAAGTAGGTGTCTCTTTATTATTAACTATTAGAATAATTGTATCAACTAAACTTTTAACAAACCTATTAGATTTCATGAGATTATTAACTTGAGTATCTAAATTACGTGCTGTTAGAGCTGGAAAGGCATTAGTATCAAATAAATCTGAATATGTGGCATTCTTAGCTTTTATTTTCCTCTACTTTTTCCCTTTTTTTCAAGCATTTAGAAGAAATAGCGAAATGATTACCCCCACAGTTTGCACATTTGGCATCCTTGGGAGCAACCTAGCAGGTTTTAAAATTGTGTTTCTCTCCACAAATTGAACATACTTCAGAATTATGACAAAATTAAGCAATATGTCCAAAACGTATACATTTTAAACGTTGTTTAACAGGTGGTATATATAATATATTTACTTTATAACGCCAAGAGTCTAAATAAACATACTCTGGTAAGATGGTATCAAACTCTGGCCCAGCGCAAGAGTCCCAGAGTGCCCAGAGTCCACACATAAGACACTTAATCCATGTTTCCCCATGAGTATCATTCGAAAACATCACACCACAAAAAATACATTCCGAATCTTCAGATTCTGGAGCTGTATATCCTTTCAAGACATCGGGTTCACTGTCTGTATCAAATAGCATCACCTCCTCATCATCTGAATCTGACTTAGGCTTAGTCTTCTCTTTTGGTTTTTTTCCTTTTGATTTCTTCTCGTTCTGTTTTTTATTCTTGTTTATTGCCAATTTATTGTCTTTTTCTTCTTTTTTCTTGCTTTTGTCTATAAGGTCATTCTTGTACGGTGACGACGTGATGACTGCTGCAACAGTTGCCTTTCTTCCTCTAGCAGAAGGTTTCCGTTTCTTGCTTGGTACTGGACTGATGTCATATGGAGACACTAATCCTAAATCACTGCGAGAAAGTCTGGAAGTTGAGAGTACAGGTTCAATATTTGTTTCTTTGTTGAGTGTGAAAGTTTCAGTTAAAGGCATACAATCATCAACAGGTTCTTTAGATTGTTGACTTGATGTCATCGATGTAACATTGACTGTGCAATCTTTAACCGCATCTTGTTGCGCAGCAAGATAGTCGACCGCGGAGAAAATATTTTTATTCAATGGCCATAAGCCAGTTGCACGAAATCCATTTGCTGAAATCTCACCAGTTTGCACTTTTAAATAAGCTCTGCCAAATAGTCGACAACATCATAAGGGCTTAGTGGTCGATTATTGTCTCTGATCCACATGCGTACTTCTTCACTGTAATAGGTTTTTAGTGGGCCCATAAAGGTTTTTTTCTAGTGGCTGGAGCTTGTGAGTTGTGTGAGCAGGTAAGGAGACAATTTCTACGTTGTTTTGCCTAGCAAGCTCTATCACGTCGATGTTACGAGTGTGAGAAAAATGGCCATCTAAGATCAGTAATACTTTTGATTCCGGTGTAGGGTTTGTATGTTTTATGAAATGTTTGAACCAGTCAGTAAATATGTTCATTTGTATCCACCCTGATGGATGTGCAATGCCAACAGCGCCTGAGGGACAGCCTCTCATTAGCTGATCACTCATATTTTTGCGTGGGAATATAATAAAGGGAGGCACAAAATGACCAGTGGCGTTCATGGCAACAACAATCGTCATTAATGAACCCCTTTCCGCCGAGGTAAGTGAAGCTATCTGCCGTTTTCCTTTATACCCAATCACTTGGGGTATCTTGCTCTGTACTACGGTAAGCCCAGATTCATCCACGTTGTATATGCGACTTGGACCATAGTTTCCTTGAGAATAGACGTCTTCGAGGAGTTCAAAGAATGAGTCTACTTTTTCTTTGCTGAATCCAAAGGCTCTAGCAAAAGACGTGCCAGTTGGTCTTCTCACTGATAGCTTGTCTTTATGGCGTTTTAGAAATAATTTAAGCCATTTTTTTCCAGCCATGCCAGTCTCACCAAATGGATATTTCAACTCATTACGAGTTGCTAACATGTATGCCATTCTTCGAACATCATTTCTCGTCAAACCATGGAATTTGCTCTCCATCGTCAAAATGTAGTCTACCAAAAGATTTTCAAGTGTTGTCCCTAATACAGTCTTCCTTCCCAATGTATTGGCTGCAGCTTCTTCTGGAGAAAATTCGTTTTTCTGACATAATCGAAACAAAGTCGATCTAGGCACATCAAAGTGTTTTGCAGCTTTCAAGTAACCCATCTTTTTCTCTCTTACAAATTTAATAGCTTCCGCCATATGCTCTGAATTCCATTCTTTTCTTTTTGTTTTCGAGTTGACGCCCGCCATTCTGGTAAAACATGAAAAAAATATATAGTTAACAAAATCATCACGTCAGCTGATACTTCAGAGAACCAATTATGGAATAGTCCATAATTGGATACTGTGACCAGTCCATATTTGGATTTTCCAACGATTTCAAGCTGACATTAAGATTTTTATATTTAAGAAAGTAATATCTTCTAATATCGCTAAAACATACAAAAGAACATCTAAACGGTCTCGAAAAGCTATAAAATCAATACTGTGTGCACTTACTCTACGAAAAATACGTATTTTTTACATACCTTAGAAAGTTATGCAGTAGCGAAAAAACAATAAACTGTCACAACGACGAAAGCGCTTGCTCGACTGACATGCTACAACTTGTACGCGTAAACGGGAGTAGAAAGAGACAGAAAACCATTGCATGTGTGAGTTTGCATTTGAAAGAAATCTGGGTATTCCATATTAGGGATACTATCCCATATTTGGTCACTTTCCTCTACTATTTCGGCACGAAATCTTATATTTTATTCTATCGAATACTCTTCGTCAAATAACTTGTACTTTTGTAATACATTAATTAACTAAATGAGCTTTTAGAAAACATATTAATATAATACATTTGTATGTATAAAATATGTTTTATTCATGACCTAATACCACTCCGTCACATTTTCTGCTAATATAAATGTATTTTTTGCTATAAATCAATTTTTACTATCATTTAAAAATAAATACCAATTTCACAGATAGTAATATAATCAAATAATAAAAATATAAATTTTCCCATGTTGCACTAGTCATAACAAAATATATAAAAGACAAAAATGATATTCCTATCAGGAGACAACATCGTGACGGAGTTTGATATCCTAGGAGATACCAGGCTGCTTTTTGTTATAAAACCGGTTTGTTTTTCTAAAATCATTTATTTTGTTATACATCTTTTCAGTCTTCAACATTGTCATATAAAATAACATGAGATCGAACCTAGATGAATAATAAAATCACATTTGAGAACCTTTAGAATAAGAGATTCATATTTCAGTAAATTAAATGACTACTCATTCGTCTTAAGTAAATAAAGTCTAGTACAGCTTGACATCAAATTAACGTTTCCAAAAACATAAAATAAAATAATCATTAAGCCATTGTTAGAAAGTCTTATTTTTCGAATATTGATAGTGGCTCTTCGAACTAGAAATATTGTATCTTCCCTTTTTATTAACATTCGGAGCCTGGAGTGTTTGGTAAGAAGTACCGCAGACAGCAGTTTGATCAGTTGAATCTTTCGTTTTAAGCGTGGCGAAAGGCTGATCTTCATTGGTTGATTCATCTGGGCTGGATTATGTATACATAATATCGTAAAATCTTTTTCGGGGCATTTTAATTGTGTTCATAATATCAGTGAGCATGAAATCTTCCACATCATGAATTATATCGTCATCTTTTTCGTTAGATAAGAACACGCCCACAGTATATATATATATAAGTTTTAGAATAAGACTGTTCTCTTTTTTGATTGAGATTGCGTTCGGAGAGCAACTGGCTGACTTTCTCTCGAAAATGGGTCCAGTTCGCCTTCCTCACGTTGTATACCCTAGTTGTGCTGTCAACGCGTTCTTGTGGTGAAAGCTCTAGTTTAATAATGAATGAAATAGCGTTGTGATCGGAGCCTGTCACATTATGGCCCACCCTCCATTTTTCAATAAGTCCGAGAAGATCATGAGTGACGGCAGTGATGTCAACACAACTAGTGTACCTTGTATTACCTATGATAGTGTCAAAAGTGTATTCCCCGCCCTGGTTTACGATTTCCATGCTCATGCTGTCCAGAGTCGCCTCTACCTCCTCGCCTCTGTCGTTTGTGTCGCTGCTGCCCCACCATGGGCTGCTGGCGTTGACATCTCCTCCTATTATTACTTTCTCACGAAGTGTTTTTATTATTTTCTCTAATTCTTGAAGAAATGGTCTTATTGGTTTTGGCTTCGGTTCAATGTAGAAGGATACCAGATGTATCACGCCTTTGGCCGTTTTAAGACCAATAGGTACCACGTTTCTAGTTGTAATTTCAGCGTATTGCAGTATTTCGATTGTATCATCTAGTACTGCAATAGCCGCTTTGTTGGTGCCTCCTACCGTGTCTATATTTTGATACACACTGGTACCCTTGTACTCCCTCATCTTGCCTTCTGACCCGACATACGGCTCCTGGATTAGGGCCACCGCTATTCGCCGCTTTTGCGCTTCCATTATCAATTCATCAGTCGCAATTTTTGCTCTTTGCAGATTGGCTTGTATTATTTTGTTTGATTTTTGTACAACTCTGGCGTTAACAATAGGCCACTGGGCTGCGGGGTAATATGTCCCACCTTTTTCGCACTGGGCACTCGATGTCAAAGGCGTTATGTGCATCTGGGCTAGTTTTTGCCTTTCGGCAGTTTACGCACACTGGTGGTACTCCCGCTGAGTGGTCTGGGCAGTCGGTTTTAAGGTGGGATCCTCCACAATGCGAGCAGGTTGGGTCGGCTTCTTTGCAATGTTTACGCCCATGGCCGTAACCCAGACACATCGAACACTGCATTAGTGGCGATTGGTCCTGTACCAGTACTCGCTGTAGGTCTATATGCACCTTTCTTGCTTCTGTAAGTATTTTCCATACACGCGGAGAGACCTGTAGAATTATGTTCTCAGTGTGCGGGTTTCTAGCCCGTCTTCGGTATTTTATCTCTGCTCTTACTTCTTCCTCCCGCAGGTCTTTAAACAGGTTCCGATTTTGGTTTTTTAGTGCACTCACCACATCCTCATCTGTGTGGGATTTTATTACGTCTCTGAGGACGACCAGTGGGTCTTTTGTGGTTGCTGTTTCCACTGTGAGGGATGGGTCAGTCTTTAAGCGGTCCGTGATTTTTTGCGACTCGAAAAAATCACGAATCATCATAGGTTGTACCAACATCCTATCACTACCTTTTGGTCCTTTGCTTTCCTTATTTTGTCGACGTTGAGCCCGGTGTTTTTGGCATCTACCGTGTTTCGGATGCGTTCTAGTATTTTTTCGCTGGTTTCTGTACCTGTCGATTTTATTATGATCGAGTGCATCTCTTGTGTTTTTAGTGTAGCGGCTCCTGCGTGTTTAGGATTGAGATTCTCCTTCGTCACTGCCGCGTACGTCCTTAATTTTGTTTCCAAACTTTCCTGCCTTTCGGTGTCTTTCTTTTCTTTTTCTTCTAACTTTTTCGTGATTTCAGTCAGGATAACTTCATCTTTGTTTTTAGCATGCTCCTCCATCTCTCTTCTACACTTCTCCAGTTTTTTGTTTTCCTATTCTAACTTTTTGATCTGCTTCTCCAACTGTTCTCTAATGTCTGTCATTGTATCTTCTTTGTTGTAAGTTTTATTTATTTGTAGTTCTTCTCTCTTTTCTTTTCCATTTAGGTCCCGATCACGAACCAGCTCATAGAGCCTTTTAACCGCGGCTGTAACTGCAGTTTTTATCTCTCCTTTAAGGCTCCTAGCCGCGTTCAGTTGCGCAAGCGCACTCTGTTGTAGAGCCGCTGCTTCCGTGATACGTGATGACACTTTATTTTTCTTGCTTTCCTGTCCCTGCAGCGTGGAAGCTGTTTTGTCGTCCCCGTCCATCTGCGCCTCTATAGTCAGAGTCGAGGCAGGCTCTTGCAAGGAGGGCAGCTCTGCCTCGGTCTCTTTATTCGTCGCGCTTGTGGACGGCGATGGCTTAGTTTTGTTTATAGTTGGGGTTCTCATAGCAAACATGTTTGGCTTTGATCGATATTTAATATTCCGGTCTATTTACACATTCAAGTTTACATAAATTCCCATAAAGCTGAATATTGGCGTAGTTGTTCAAAACATCATTATAAAGAAAATCTCAAAAGTCCTCATCGTTCCGAGGTGTGCTAAAAATTTGGCACGGGGTCAAAGGTCAAAAAAATGAGTTTTTTGCGATTTTTAGCGAAACGGTGAGTTTTTTCGCAAAATTACCCCAGTACAAAATTGTAGATCACAAAATTCTCTACAAAAAATATATCAATAATTTTTTTCCTAAAAGCCACCATTTTGGAGATATAACGTTCCGAAAAGTTGGATCAGTCGTAATCCCTCTATTTTGCACACGTTTCCACGCCACCTATGAGGTAGTGTACAAAGCGCGTTTTTTTTAACGTGGTTTCCCCAGTAGGCCTATTCCACGGGTCTGCTGAGATTTTATATGTTTTAAAACTATTGCAAAATAATATTATATATTATAGTGGGCAAAAACAACGGCGGTGTAATTAAATAAAATACTTAAAATAAAAAGTTAGTCGTCTGATTCATAACTGTCCAAGATTTCTGTTTCTTCTTCTTCTTGATCTTCTTCTCCTTCTTCTTCCTGTTCATCCTCTTGTTCTTCTTCTTCTTCTTGTTCTATTTCACACGTAAACTGCCCCAATAGCGATTCCTGATCGGTATCAAACGAATCTTCAAGAGTTGGTGACTCAACATTCGAGCATGATCGGCCTTGACAGTGTGTGCATGCCAGGGAACAAAACAGTCCAACTTTTCTGCAACCACATTTTGCACTACACCCTTTCTTGCAGTTGCAAAATATTGTGTTGAGAAGTTTCTCAGGTGCTGGTGGAAGTAAAGTTTGAACTGGCTCTAGTGTATTGTCGATCAACTTCCAACCCCAGTCTTTAGGGTCCAGCTGATTACCAAGCCACACTTGAACTTGGTAATATACCCGAAACAGATGTTGATGAGCAGCTACTGAGGTTGGAGGAAGAGAAGCTAAGTTGACTTGTTTTTTATTACGCGTATTTTTCACGAAAGATGTGTATCGCAACTTATCTAAGCAAGTGGTTTTTTTGGGGGCTCCGTACATAGCAAGAAGAAATTGAACTCCGTTGGTGATAACATGTTGTTGAGTTGAATTACTATTTTTAAAAACTTCAGCACATTGTAGTAAATCTTTTTTTTCAAACATTTTGAAAACTGTTGTTTTTCCTCTCCTGTAAAAAGCAGATGTCGTATCGCAGCCAGTTATTGCGTGTAGAAACAATACATGATTTTGACATTTAGGAAAATTGGATAAACTGTTTGATGAATATATTTCCGATTGATTTTGGGCTTTTCCGGGTTTAAAAAAATAAATAATTTTTTTCAGTTGGAGTTCGAGCAGTAAGCAAGACGAGTAAATCAACATCCTCACCAACAACAACAGTTGTATTTGTCACACTGAATTTCTTTATCGCTGTTTCAATAATCAATACATCAGCATCATCATTAGCTTGTTCAACGGATATATTCTCAGCAGTAAATTTTGCTTTCAACATCGAAATAAACCTAGATTTATTGTGATTATTTGCAAAGAATTTCTGTTGACTGGTAGGAACTGTCATTGATTCATCGAATATAATATCAGAAGAAGTTGATGAAGCAGCATTTCGACGGCGTTGCTCTGCTGCTTTAATATTTCTCGTATAATCATCATATCCGTCAAATACGACAGTAACTCTGGAACCAAAATGTCGACGTACATATTGAACGTATTTATCTAAGATAACGTTAAATGTTTCCTCGCTATCCCACACCACTCGATGTAATAAGAATCCTCCGTCAATTATGTACGTTGAATTAGTGTTATTAATATCAACATTTATAGTCTGAAAACAATCGTAAATAGCCGACTTCTGGGTCTTGCGCATTCCAATGTCATCAAATAATGTTAACGGATAAGGAGCTAATTCATACTCGAAATATTTCTCAATTTCATCTTGAAAAGCCGCAGTAACACTCATACGTTGGAATAATAACACTGGGTCAACAGGTACTTTTTCTTCGTGAACTTTTACGGTGCTACTCATAGCTAAAAGAGGAACAACTTTGTCAGCGCGTTTAAGTTTAATATCTTTAAATGTCAGTCCAGTTATTTTAGCAATAGAGATAAGCCCAAGTTCACGTGCTTTATAGCAATTAATTGTATTATCACCAACGACACCACTTGCAATCGAGATGACTTTGTTAACCTCTGGGAAAGGATCATGAATCGAGAACCACTCAAGAAGCATTCGTATGTCTTTAGCGTCTTTTTTTACACGTGAATCACTGGCATCAACATGCTGTTCAGTCGTATCCATCCTAACATTAGCAAGATCTTCTAATTTCTCACAAACTGTGTTCATTGCATGCATGCTGTAAACCCATTTACTGATTACACTTTGTTTTGTACTTCTTCCTCGAGCAATACCTCCATCTGTCTTCATGGCTTTCATCATAGACTGTTCGATAACCATGTCTGTAGAAGTTCCACAACTCAATTTATCTGAGCGTCTCACGGTGAAAAATCCTTCGGTAAATTTTTCGTAAACTTCAGGATCCATCGAGTCCTGTAATTGCATCATGTCTTGTAAATACAAGTGTGCAGATTTAGCATATGGAAAATGTCCTGACGAGTGGAAATAAGGTAACATTTCTTTTACACAACTTAAATGAGCTTTCCAGTCCCCCATACGCTCAGCTCTCAAAAATTCTTTTGCAAGTGAAACCATATTAAAATATTGTATCCAAAGTTGCGCTGTTGGTCCTCGTTCCTCAAAATCTTTCAATTTCATATTAAATTTATGAAGTAAAGCACCTGATACTTCATTATCATTTTCAATATCTGAATATGAAAGAGTGCTATCTAATATATGGTCAATATTTATGATTAAATCTGCTCCCATGATATCATTAATATCTATTGTTTTTAATATTGTAATTGCTAAAGCCAGCTGGAGTAGTGTATGTGCTCGAACAGCTCTTGCGTAAGCATGACCATTGAGCATTTTTTCTAATGACTTTGGTGCATAGATTTCTGAGAGTACTTCTTTTATCCCGCTACCTTGCATAATATAACCAATTGCTCCGAGATAAGACATGAGTAGATGAAATCCTCCAAGTCTGACAATAATCTTCGATACTTCAGAGCCGTCAGGTGCGGCTGATACAATTTCTCGAGCTTTCGCATACAAGGGTTGGTCGAAAGTCACGATGCATACAGTGTGGCCGTAACGTTTCGCGTTCTCTAATGCACAAAGTAAAGTCGTATAGACAGTATTATAGTTACTAGCTGGTTGATGGATGAATGGTAAAAATGTAATCTGAGATTTTGAATAATTTGTATGGTAATTTGTTAAGCGCTCAATAAAACCGTTCCAACCAGGTAATGATGTATTTTTCCACTTTCCATAAAACCATACTACATCAGAATTTTTATGAAAAGATACTGTTTCAGTTCCATATCCAAAATCTTGGACATATATTTTACTGTAACCAACTACATCACTATTCTGATAGATCTGTATTGGCACATGAGCTTTTGCTTTGAAGTGTTTTGCTGAAAGAACTTCTTTTATTCGTTGCATAGGTTCTTCTAGTAAAACAGAGTGCTTTGGAGTTACAATTTGAATTATACCCATTATGTGGAGTGAATTGTTACCATCTAGCGTATTAACATTTATATCAGCATTATCTGCAACGTATTGAATAAGTGTGCCACTTTCAGGTGGTAGGACATGAGGAAGAGGATGAAAAACTGCTGCTGACTCGTACATCAATGTATCATTATAAGAAGCACACAAACCAAAAGACGACAAAATTTGTATAAGACGCTTAGACCCGAACCTCCGATGAAAAAAACTGAAAGACCTAACTGTAATTTGGACTTGAACGATCTTGGTCGAATAGCAGTCATGATACTATGACAAATATTGGTGCATACTAGTTTTAAATGATCGAAATTTGATCGTTTATTTTTTAAGATCATTTGCTCCAAAAAAAATGTCAGTGACTGTGGGATGTCATTATTTAAATCTTCAAACATTCGACCTGGTGGAGGGTAGTAGGAATTATCAAATACCGAGGATTGAATATCTTCTCGAATAATAGATGCTGCTGCTTCTAGAGTTTTTAATCGTTCTTCTTGTTTATTAATTTTTTTATTTTCGGACCAAGATTGATTTAAAATTTCATGGTGACTGTTTATCAAACATACAAATGTTAACGCTCCCGGTTTTTCAGTGATAATAATTTTATCGCCATATTTCAGTTTAAGTCGCAGCTTAATAGTCCTGTTATCTAAAGTTAAAATTTTGCTAACATCTTTTAACTCAGCCAAAGTAAACTGACAGTCATTGCTACTCTCAATGTATGTAAATATTTCCTGCATTGCCAGATCTGTTGCTTCATCTTTAGGACGACCAACTGTACCGCCAGTAGTCGGTTTCAAAAAAGAAGTATAACATTCTTGGTGATACTTTGCTTCAGCAGCAACTAAATCATAGTCAAATTCGATTCGAGCAACAACAGCTTTCGATATAGCATCGGAACGAGTTCGTGCTACTTCCAAAATTGAATGTTTGAATTGGAGTGTACTTACTTGACAAATTTTACTGCGACGATCTAAGGATTTTTTTCTCTGCAACTCTTCATTCAATTTATTGCCACAAAATAAACATAGTTTTTTAAAACAAAAAGCTGAATCACTTGAACGGGATCTAGTACGAGGAGGACTACTTACTGTAGATCCTGTAGATGTGTTAGCTTCTTGTTCTTCGCGTTTTCTTTTGATGGCAGCAGCAATAGAACACTTCCGCGTATAAATTTTACGACAGTTGCTATGTATTGTCACAGATTTTTGTTTTTTAAGAAATTCCGAGTATCCATCATCTCTTTCAGCACTTGCATTAATCAGTGTCTTCATACCACGATCAACAGTTACAGTTTCACTTTCAGTTAAAAGATGAGTACAAATAAAACAATATTCTGACATTTTTCTTATAAAAATCTAAAACGCACAAAATAGGTTAAAAGATAGTTTAAGATAAGCACATGTTTTCCCTACGCAGTGGCGCTCAAGACTAACGGTATGTATTTCATATATTGGGCATGCCAACATAAAGCAGGTATACGACCCTAGCCACGCGGACAATAGAATAAAAGACAGATGTTATCCCAAGGTTATACTGACGTACAAATTTAGGAACGGGGTTTCATTATACCTGAGATTCTCGTAGTTTAACTTATATTTTACATAAGCAAGTTACAATAAATAATAGCGAACTTATTTTAGTTCTATTACACCTTTAGTGACTTTCATATGTGGCGTACGTGTGCAAAATAGAGGGATTACGACTGATCCAACTTTTCGGAACGTTATATCTCCAAAATGGTGGCTTTTAGGAAAAAAATTATTAATATATTTTTTGTAGAGAATTTCGTGATCTACAATTTTGTACTGGGGTAATTTTGCGAAAAAACTCACCGTTTCGCTAAAAATCGAAAAAACTCATTTTTTTGACCTTTGACCCCGTGCCAAATTTTTAGCACACCTCGGAACGATGAGGACTTTTGAGATTTTCTTTATAATGATGTTTTGAACAACTATGCCAATATTCAGCTTTATGGGAATTTATGTAACCTTCCTCCTGATTTTAGGCTTAAATAGACCGGACTATAAATAGTAGTTTGAAATGGTATAGATGGTATTAATAAGGGTCAGTTGAATTTCCTTGTCAGTGTTAACCTAATAAGAACTTTTAAAATGATTTACAAATAAGCGTTACTATTACCGTTATTACAGGCAGAAATCTAATTTATGTTAAGTAAAGTACAACAAGTACAGTACAAGTACAAGTATGTTAATATATATATTAATGTACTTTGGAACGGGCTCTATCGAATGGTATATGTATATATTATCAATAAGGGTCAATAAGGCCTCTTTTCCATTACACGGTTGTTCAAACGTACGGTGTGTAAGCCGTACGGTTGAAAAAACGTGCTAGCTTGTACATGATACGGCAAAATCACCGCGCGAGACATTGGTAAGTACTGGCTAGTAGCGCTTTTTACTCGGGCTGTGTAGGACGTGCTGCGTCATGAATTTTCTTACGAAAAAAAAGATTATAGTTGCTTATTACATATATAGGAAAAAGAAAATAGAAAAAAAAAGGGAAGTAAGGTTTTGGATACATCCGATTTTAGAAAAAAGGGAGGAATATGGCGCGTTTCATACACTTGTCAAGAATCAATTGAGAGAAGATGAAGACAAGTTTTACAATTATTTTAGAATGCAGAAAACTACATTCGACAACTTGCTCCAAAAATTATCCCAGGAACTAAAACATCAAGATACTTTTATGCGAGAGAGTATATCGCCCGCAGAAAGATTGGCTGTAACTCTGAGGTAAGTAGGTACAAAATTAAATGACATATTTTAGTTTAAAATTGTTTATTGCACACAAACAAAATTATTACATGTAATTGAATTTTAATAATTATTAATTTAAGAACAAGTAAATCAAAAAATACACTACGCTGAAAATGCTACTCAAGTGCGGTACTAAAATCGAATTCGTCTTCAATAGAAACTTGAGAATCTGCCGAGATACTTTCCGCATTTACACTATGTACAGATAATTGTGATTCGGGTCGGTAGTGGATTGGCTCTAAACCAGAACCGTGTCCAAAATCATGAGAAGACGTCTGTGGACGACTTATTCCATAGCTCGATCTAGCAGCTGTAGAATATCCATATGTTGACGATTGCGCATTTGAGGATGCTGTACCACTTAAATATCCTTGATGGCCTTGATCCCATTGGTTTCTTGATGTAGGTATATACTGAGTACACTGTCTTTGTTGAATATTTTTAATTATTGAAATTACTTGAAACTGAAAGTCTATCATATTTTCATCACTGAACTTGTCAACTGTATCAGCGATTCCCATAAAAAAGTTCATACTACGGCTTTTCTTTTTCTCATCTCGTTCTGCTGAATCCATAAACTTCATAAACCTAATGTCAACTTCACTTAGTTCATTTTTTCTTTTTTTTTTAGCCCTTTGCGTCTCACTCCGTTCAGTGTATCCCGAGCTTGATTGATTCGGGACTGCACTATCAAAATTTTCATTACTGAGGCTAGAATCATGAACATGTTCAGTCATGTTAGAATCGGTCTTGCGATGCTCAACATTTTTTTTTAGGAACATCATTTCATCATAGAACATATATTTTCTTATTTTTTTTGCTGAAGAACCAGACTTACATTCATTAATTTTTTTGTCATATTTTATCCAGCTATCTTTCATATTGGTCCACTTCTTCATCACCATTTTCCCTGAAAATAAATAAATAATAATTATTAAATTCAAAATTTATGAAAACCCCCGACCTAAACTGAATCGACCCCGACCTAAAATGGGGTTTTAGTATTTGAACCTGAACCGTTTTGTTTCATATTTCAGGTATCTAGCAACAGGAGATACCTTTACTGACCTATACTACAGCTATAGAATTGGAATAAAAACCATAAGTTGCATCGTACGTGAAGTATGCCACTACATTTGGTTAGAACTGTATAAAGAATATATGAAAATGCCATCTAAAGAAGACTGGCTACACATTGCAAGCAAATTTCAAGAATCTTCCAACTTCCCGCTGTGCTTAGGAGCGGTCGATGGAAAACACATCAGACTTATTAAGCCAATTGATAGTGGCTCGATGTTTTTAAATTACAAACATTTTTTTTCTATAGTTTTGATGGCAGTAGTAGATAGCGATTACAACTTTATATTTGTTGACGTTGGCGCCTACGGAAAGGAGTGTGATTCCAGTGTGTTTAAAGAGACCCCATTTTGGAAAAATTTAACAAACAACGGATTAAATCTACCCGATGCAACACGTTTGCCTGGAATTGACTACGATTTGCCATATGTGTTCGTTGCGGACGAAGCCTTTGCTTTGCATTATCACTTGCTTCGTCCATTTGGTGGTCATCAGCTTGATCAATTAAAACGTACATTTAACTACAGACTCACAAGAGCGCGAAGATTTGTTGAATGTGCGTTTGGCATTTTATCCAATAAATGGCGAATTTTTCACCGGCCAATGAATGTGTCCATCGATTTGGCAGTTGATATTGTGAAAACATGTTGTGTTTTGCAAAATTTTATACATAAGCAGGAAAACTTTCAGTTTCACAATGCGAGTGAAAATGAGTCCACCCTTGATTCAGAATCGGAACTAATCCAGTTACCTATCACGAATGCAGTTCGCGGAAGTTTGGCGGCTAATGAAGTTCGCAACAGATTTGCACAATATTTTGTATCTAACGAAGGTCGCCTCTCCTATCAAAACAACTATGCATAAGTAAAAAGTTAATAATTAAATATCTGTAACTTACCAAACTTGTTTTTCTCATCACCACTTAAATCTTCAAATGTGGGCTGGAAATGAATAAATATTTCTTTCCAGGAATCATATTTAAGCCGCTTATTTTTATAATCGTCGATGGTCTTATCCCATATTACAGGCCTTTCTTGAATCAACGTAATTAATAATTCTTGATTTATGTTCATTTTATAATAAAATCGCGAAACAGCGTATATAAGCGGTCACGAATCCGTGCGTACGTCCGGCACCGTCGACACACCCCGATAGACTGCCATACAACACTGGTGAAAATCACGCCGTGCGTAGACGCGGCGCGCCGAGGGGCAGTCACGGCGCACGCGGCCGCGGCGCCGTGCCTTGGCGCCACCGTGCATGTCGACAAGCTCATATAGTGATCCATACCACACTGACGACCGTGCCTACACGCGGCGAATTAACCGTAGATTTTCACGGCGAGAAACCGTGTAATGGAAAAGAGGCCTAATACCCTTTTTTAGTGTTATTCGAGTGAATTCTACAATTTATTTAAAAATATTTTTTTGTTATAAAAGTTATTTAAGGAATGAAATTTAATTATGTATGTTTTGTATATATATAACTTATCAATAAGGGCCACTAGTACCTTATATAAGTGTTGTTTAAGTGAAGTTTTAAAATTTTGGATAAAATATTTTTGTTATAGACGTTATTTAAAGAATGAAATTTAATTATATTAATATTTTATACACTTACTATTGTACTATGAAATAAGTTCTATCTAATGGTATATTAATCTTCAGTATTTGTCTTCTGGATAGTGGCTGGAGCCTCCGGAAGATTGGTTTTTCAAGATTAAGATGTTAGTTTTCCCTTTTGTTTTCGTCTCGGAAATTTTTATTTTAAAAGGTAAAAATCTGAGATTTTGCAGAGTGATGCTCCTATTGCTGAGCTTCTTGATGATGTAATAAATTTGGTATGTTACCGATTCTGTTTCCGAGCTATAAAGCGGCAAAGTTAAGGTAGAGTGACCACTTTCTGTAAATAGCGCACTTTTTTCCTTAACAGTCGGTTTTTCAGGATTATCCGATATAGTTTTTAAAAGCTCTTCAAACGAGGTATAACACGGCTCGGTGGTATTGCCGGTTTAAAAGTTGGCCACCACGTGGTCACCACGTGTTTTAAGTGAAAAAATTCAATAAGTCAGAAAATCTTACATGAAAAAATCCACTGATTTTTTCCCACAAATACACTGCACTGCGGCGGTTATTTTGAATAATAAAAACTATAGGTTGCCGATCTAAAAATGGAACCGCACGCAAAAAACCGAAAAAAAGTTGGTTGAAAATAACCTAAGTTATGGTTTTTGTTTATAAATTTCTACAATTTTTCACTTTTCACAACGAATTTTATATCGCGGCACTGAGCTGAACACAATGATGTATAGCACTAGATGATAATTCACAATAAAACTATTTTTGATGATTTTTTAACGCTGAGCGATACTGAAACGTGACCGACTCAGGTGGCGGTTTGGCCGCGACTCCTCAAAAATATATTAGATGAGGTTAGGTTAGGATAAGAATATTTTTTTAGAAAATAAAACTCAGGAAATTATTTTAACTGAAAAAATAAATCTATTGGATGAGATCTGTTGAAGAACACATTTTTTCCAACATATGTTGATGCCAAAGTGACAAGTTTGTTGTCTAGCCATATAACCACAGATATTTCCACCTCATCTATTTGTAAGACATTCTAAACGCTGTGAGAGAGGCTCTTCTTAGTCTTGTCATTTGCGCATTATTTGGTAGATTATGGTTAGGGAGGCGTTTCCGATTCACGGTACCTAAGGGCAGTATTCCTTTTTTATGTAATGCAGCCATGAGCGGCAAACTTTTTTTTATTTTTTTATTTTTATTTATTGAGAAAGATTTACAGCTTATTACTAACTTACTTACTAAATACAATATTCTTTTACGCCATTAAAAAAATCTTTACAAATAGTTAAGAACTAATAATATTAACTGTATTGGTAACAATTAAATGATTTTATTCAACTAAATAAATATATATCAAAGAAAGTAATAAACTAAGTAAAAATTGGCTAAGTAACGCTAAACAGTTTAGTATAACTTATATGTACACTTATAAAAACTTATGGTACATCATTCATTCCACTGAGGAGCTCAGATGTCATAGCTCTCCTTGCCGACCCCACGCTTGAGGCGAATAGGTCAATATCACAAGTTAGACTATTAAACTTACTCGCCGCCCTAACCATAAAGCTGTTCCCTCTGTAATTGGTGTTAACTTTCGGTGTGTACAATAGGTGCATATTTTTTAGCGCCCTATTATGCACACGGAGACACAACTTAGTAGCTCAGGACAGTCAACTTTACCTGTAGCTAAATTTATCAAATATGTAATATCTGCAATCTCACGCCTAACTGAGAGAGGAAGAATGTGGAAATGGTTACATCTAGTTAAGTAGTCAGCCAGGAAAGTCTTATCTTTATATTGGAGGTGTCTGATAAATTTCTTTTGAATGAGTTCTATACGATTGTTATAAACGGCATATTGTGGGTTCCATACTTGCGAGGCGTACTCTACGTTAGATCTAACATAGGCAAAGTACAGAGTTTTAAGTGTCTTCACTTGGGTGAAGTTTGTTGATGTCCTTAAGATAAATCCTAACATTTTATAAGCTTTGCGAACAATGCTATCAATATGAGTATCGAATAGAAGTTTGCTATCATGTAACACTCCAAGATCTTTGATTACGTTAACATTTTTTGCTACAGATTTTTTAAGTTCATAAGCGTGTATAATTTTCTTTTTTCTTCTTGAGTATGTCATGGAAAAACATTTGGATACGTTAAGATCAAGTTTATTAATTTGACAATAAGCTTCAAATCTATTTAAATCCTCTTGTAGGTCAGATGAGTCTTCTTCAGTAGAGATATATTTTAAGATTTTCATATCGTCCGCGTATAATAATATTTTAGAATGTAGGAAGCATGTTTGAATATCGTTCACAAATAGAATAGAACCAATTGTCGAAAAACAATTTGTAGTTCATATGTCCAGGAATACTGGTTGATAAACGCATTTCTACATTACTACTTACTCCCAGGTCAGGTTGGCCTTCTAAAACAACATTTGACTGTGCCCCGGCATAGAGCTCAAAATCATATGTCAGTCCTGATGATTTTGAGCTCTATGCAGTTCTTAAGACGAAAGCCTTATATCCCCATTTATGTGTTTTTTTAGGGTTGTAGTTTAGGTTTAAAGACATTTATTCTCATAACAGACAATAGTCACTTACATGAGAACTTATATACTAAAAGGTCATTGAAGAGCTTCAAGGATCAATTAGAGAAGTAGAACTTGGGTGGACTTTCATTTACGCAGGTAACTGGGATCACTCAAGAGATGGTCTTTTAGTCTAAATTTAAATATTGCCAGGCTGTCTGCACTTTTTATATTTTGTGGAAGTCTGTTATACCGCAGCACTCCCCCAACGCTCAATGTTTTTTTACCGTTATTGGTTCTAAACTTAGGTACAATAAGATTGTGAGGGTTTAGCAGCGCTTAGGCAGTCTCCTGCTCTGTGTTTGTGTATGTGTTGTTGATTTTAAGTGTTCCCGGGTGTATGTTGATCTTTCTCTTTTAATAGTTTGTTTGCGATGGACCAATCGTCGTCCTTGTCCTGGGCCTCGCAGAAAGCCCGAAAGCTGTCTGTCAGGCCCGGCGGATCTCGGACGCATAATTCTCTTTTGTGTCCCTATACTGTTCGATTAGATCGGGTGAGGGTGTATTGTTTGATCGTGTTGTGCGATACAGAATCCGGTGTAATTGGTTGCATTTGGTTTTTAGGTGCTCTAGGTGGTCATCCCAGAAGGGGGCTTTACTTGTGTGTTTGCTGGTTTTGACAGGAAATGACTCAGTACAGGCGTCATTAATAATACGCGTCGTGCGTTCCACGATCGAGTCAAGTTCGGTTGGTGAAATGTTGAGGAAGTTAGTGTCCAAAATTTGACTATTGGCAATTTTGGAAAGCAGATTTTCCTTGAATGTGTGCCAGTTTGCATTTTTAGTGCGGTATAAAAAGGTGCTTTGGTTGGGTGTCGCGGTTGACGGATTTTGCAGTTTAATTTTGTATGTGATTATGTTGTGTTGAGTGGATGGGAATAGGTTAGGCCTGACTTCCCAGTGTGTTATTTTGTTAAAGAGAGGTGTGGTGCTAAAGCTTAGATCGATAATGGAAGAGCGAGGGCGGCCGTGTGTGATAGTTTCGAAAGTAAGTGTATTACCTACATTGCACAGGTGTAAGTCCGCGGAACTCATAAGGTCGACCAGATCATGGCCCCGTCTATTGCTACGCGGGTAGCGACCTCCACCCCAAAGTGTATGCCATGCGTTAAAGTCACCGCAGACTGCGATAGACGCGTGAGGATGTTGAATGATGAAGTTTTCTAATGTGTTGAGTGTGTCATTGTTGTCTGTTTCTGGCTCTATGTCGTTCCTATTGTTCCGTTTGAATTTAATATTGAATTTTTCTAATTTGAGTGAAGGGTTTTGATCCTTGATCGCATTGATAATTTCCTCGGCGGGAGTGTTTTTGCTGATGCCTTTAATATGAATCATGGGGTTGAGACGACGCTCCTCTTGTGCATTAAACGAGCCTGTCTTTTTTAGGTGTGATAGCGCGTGTTGTCTATTTTCGTTGCTTTCGAAGGTAATTTTTAGTTTCCCTTTCGACAGTGGGGATATTTTAAGCGGGGCGTAGCCGCCCTCTCGGAAATTGATCGATTTCCTGACCTTTTCCACTAACTGTTGGGGGGTTGAGCTGGGTTCTCCGCTGACTACTATTGAAGGCCCAGACTCTTTTTTGGAGGTGGCCGCGATGCTGGCTTATGACTTATTGTGCCCAGAGAGGACGTTACCATCTGTGGTGGCCGAGTTTATGGTTTTTATTTTATCCATTAGTTTGCTCATTTTTTTGTTGTTTTGTTCGAGTAGTGCGGAATGCTCCTTTAGTTTATTGAGGAGTTCGTCCTGTTGGGGCGCAAAGGTTGGGAGGACTGAATAAGTAGTATCCGGACACGTTATGCTCGGTGTCGGGCCGGGTGCAAGACACGTGAGCCTGGTCTGAATAATTTTGATTGCATTCTCTAAAGACACGGTAATGCTGTTTTTTAATTCGGTTTTTATGTTCCTTGAGGCCCCGAGCGCCTCTTTTGCTTTGTTTGCGAGGAGGTTTGTTTGGTGGATTTGGGTGGTGAATGGAAAATATTGAGTTAAGTTTTAGCAAAATTTGACTGAGACTAAAGATATTTAAAAGCCGTGAAGTAAAATTGAATGTTATTTAGGAAATAGCCAAATGCTTTGTTATTGCGGAAGACGATAAGACGGTAATAACCTTTTTTTTTTATCCTGGGGAAACCCAATTACGGGCGCCCGCGCCTGGGCAAATTGTTAAATGGCGCGGGGAGTGTGGGGGTCAAGGTCGTAAAACGTTGACCCCATACCCACTAAAACCACCAGGGCCCACTGTTCGCTATGGGACGAGGGCGTCTGAACGTGAACTGGTAGAAATGTTGATTTTGGGAGAAACCCACGGATTTAAGCGCACCGTGAGCCTTTATCTAAACCTAACGGTTGACTTTGTAGTAATTTCTGTCTATAAAGTTAGTCAGAGCGTTGGTTCTATTCCCAGCCGGACCACGAGAGCTGAAGTGACTCTCTCGTAATTGTGGATAGTCCGCATGTAGGACTGGACCAAATATACCAGCCATGTTAAAATTACTGTTACAGGTGGCAACCCATCCACCTGGGGCGTTTCCAGCCTCAGTTAAACAGCATAGACCGCGTGCCTGCGTTACTCGACGTCTATGTAGCGTCTCAATATTGGCCTGATTTGATACAGCTGATCCTTGAGCTCCAAAGCTATGCACATCTGCTGTCTTAAGGAAGAGTGGTATATCAGCATCATTAACGGGGCCTATTGATTCGACGAAGGCTAGATTAACTGCAGTAACTCTCCTTTTTATTCTATCTTGCAAGTTTAAGCCTTGTGGGTTCTGCTCTCTTCTAAGCTCTAACATCTTGAACCGGTCTTTCATCTCAGCTAATATAGTATACACTCTAGTGTGTAGGAGGGGAGAGTATCGGTATCTGCCTTCGAGTGTATTGTCGTTAGGGAATACAATTCCATCTAATCTGGCTGCTGCTCCATGAGTGTTAATGTCAATATCTTCAAACCCTAGTAAATTACGGTTTGGTACAAGATTACCAGGAATTAGTTCTTCTGGTAAGGGTCCGTATTCTTGATTTCGCTGCTGCGAAGCTGTAATTCTGGCTGAAGTAACATACGGTGATATGTAACACTCATATAGATTATGGTTTTCAGCATTCAGTGCTCCAAAAGTGCCACTTGGACTAATCTCAATGTGGTTCTGCATTATTGGGCCTTGTGGTATAGCCTGTGAAGGACGATTAAGTCTAACTTCTTTTCCATCTTGTGTAATGACTTCGGCAACATGAGATATATAATCCGCTATTGCTTGGGGAACTACCTGATAGTCTGGTAGTATTTCCCTCGCATCAGTACGGAGATTAAGGACGTTTTGCCCTGCTTTCCTTGCTACCTCTAAGATTTCTAAGTTTAAATGGGTAGCCATGGCATGAGTATACATACTTAAGGGCAGTCTATCATGTAAGCGAGGATCTACGGCTCGCATCTTTTCATATGTTTCATTCACTAAAGGGATAAACCCCGAGAATTCAAAATTTTGACAGTAAACATCCGTCTGGGGTATCAGTGAAGAGTGGGGTCCAATGTCATAAAGTGGCTCATCCCTTTGCCCTGATCCACTTGTACTTGGTAGTATTTCATCAACTGGCTCCTCTCGTTTTGGTTGGGTCCGTTGTCCTTTATATTGTTGTGACCGTTGAGTCGGTTATGGACGGTTCACTTCACGCCTTGGATCATAAGTTCAAATATTAAATTTTGTCAAGAGACATTTAAGGTTATGTTCACTTTCATCCTTGAGATATATGAATGTACTAAAGATCTCGTAGCCGCTCGGACCGATGAGGTTAACCAACAAACCGGCCTGAATCTCTTCAGACTCTTGCTCACCCCGGATGCTATGATAAACACCTCGAACTGTTTCCGACATTTTCGCCACGCGTTGGCGCGCGCGGCTGGACCACCTTCGACCGCTAATTCACCCGGAGGACGCGCGTGTTCCATTATTATTATCACAAACGGTTTTAATGATCACGTAATAGACACTGAGACCAAAATACGCCGTAATATCTCAGATATTTAATAAAATTTAAGCACTGCTGTCACCATGTAGTGAAACACACGCTAGTTGGTTTAACACTGATTTATTTTTAAACTACCGTCAATAACTACATAATAACACCACAGGTAACAGCTAGGCCTTTTCACCGCGCCCCGTCCAGCGAATGCCGCTTACGCGACTCTCATAATAAGTTTATATTTATATACATATACACACATATAATTACAATTTTAAGAGGACTCCACATAGACTACCCGGGCCCTCTCGGCTTGCTCTTTACACCGCATTACCACGCCACAGTATGTGGATAAAACTGTCCACTTTAGGATGACCTCGCTAACCTAAAATCCACACTGGCGGGGGCCCCATAATCGGAGAGATTCCCCGCACCTTCTCCTAACCTCTCTGCAAGGCGAGAGCGGGCGTTATGACGCCGCAGCTCTCCCTCCGCCTCCTCCAATCCTACCACATGGGAAGCCGCCTTTTTCGGCGGCTTGCCCTTGGCAGGTGGAGAAGCATTCTCCTTGGCGTTGCCAACCGGGCTCTTTGTATAGGCCCGTTTCCTATCACCGGACCAATCCACAACACCCACATCGTCGTCACTATCCGAGGACGACGGAAACACCAACCCCTTAGCTCGCCTCATATCAAGGCGCTACAAGATCTTACAGTAGAGTCAACGACTCTACCCCCGACTCTACCACCGACTCTACCTCCGACTCTACCTCCGCCCAGAACTCTACCCCTCTACCCAATAAATATATAAATAAATAAATAGATAAATGAATAAAGACCTGGCAACACCACACAAATACAATCTTAATTCTAAAAAATTAAAACTAAAATTTAAAGTCTCAATCCGCTTCGGTGTGACGAAGTCCAATCTTCGGACGCCCACTCACTTCGGTGTGAGAGACGTCCAACCTTCAGCTGTCCACCAAGCTTGTCAACAACAAGATGGCGGACCAACGCGTCACGGAAAAACCCCAACCTTGCCACCAAACTTGTAAACAACAAGATGGCGGACCGACGCTTCACTAATTTGCCCGACCTTGGCACCCAACTAGCAAACAAGATGGCGGCCGACAATTCACTTTCTGCAATTTAGATTATATTGGCCAAATTAATGGGCCAAAGATAAAAAATTGTAACACTCACAGTTGCACCTTAATCCCACAATTAAGACACATACAATTTATGTGTCGTCGCGACACATAAAAGGTAGCACAAACACAAACACCGGGTCAATTTCCCCTCACTTTAGCCTTGTAGTTATGAAGAATATAACTTACGAAGTGCACACTAACATACAAAGAAGCAGTAATTGCTACTGAATCTTCTATGACAACTCACTGGATTTTTCTCCACTAAAAACCCACCATTGGAAATTTCCAAACGCGGAGCGAACGAAAACACAGTTGTCGCTACGACAGCTCGACGCGTACTAAAGAAGGAATGTTGAATTACTTAACCACTTGTAATTGCCATTCTCGGCCTAGAGCGTATTGCTACGTTCTAAACCTACACAGGAATCTCTATAGTTGGGCGCCCACTGCACACTACAGAAACTCAACCGTGCCCGCCATGTACGGTTTAAGCACTCGCCCGGTACCGTACAACCCTACCAAAGGCCGAGAATAAATATAAATTTACCCTCGAACCGGGAATCGAACCCGGTACCCCACACCCACCACGGCCACATACAAAGACCGTTTGGCTATGAGGCCATTAACCTTTTTTTTTTTTTATGAAGGAGGAAAAAATGCACAAATGCAGGCCCGCGGGCGTATGCAGTCGCTACCGCGGGGACTGTGGGGATGGTTATCTCTTATCCCTCTGCTAACCAGAGGGGAGAAACCCGACCCACTAAAAATTCCTCCTAGGCCCTCCATATCACCTGCAGTGCCAGACACATCCATTCTGAATGAATGACATCTGGCACCGCATTGAATTCCCCGGGGGAAAGAGATGTTGAATTACTGACCACTTGTAATTGCCATCCTCGGCCTAGAGCGTATTGCTACGTTCTAAACCTACACACGTTTTACGTCAAACAGCAACCTCTCGGCCAGCCATCAACAAATAGTTAGTACTTTCGGTTATTTTTCACTTTTTATTGTATAATTTTTGAATTTCGGTCTATTTTTATACTTGTAGTCACGCGCCAATTTCATTTAATGTTTTCTTTCAACTAGTTTCATTTTAAGATGTAGTTAATTTTTGCCTCAACGCGGGCACGCATGGCCCTAACTTTTGGGCACTTGTCTGAATCAGCGCGGTGTAGAGTGCCGGTGTTGCTGTTAAACTGTTTGTTGTGTTCGGCGCAATTGGTGCAGTTGTGTACCTCAGCCTTGCACTCCGCGGTAGGGTGGTGGGCGAAGCACTTGGCGCATGTTGGTGTGGATGCAGGGCAGCGGCTCTTTGTGTGTCCGAAATTTAGGCAGTTTTGACACTGCCTAAATGGTGAGAAGTTGTCACTGTGGACCCGCTGCATCCCTATGTTAACTCTGCCTAGGTCGGCGAACGCATTCCAGACAGAGGGTGATGTGTTTAGGACCACGTTGTACAGTGTAGTGTTTCTGTTGTTAGCAATGAATTTTATAGTGAATGTGTGCTTAGTTAGTGTGATGTTTTGGTCTTTTATTGTTTTAATAAGTTCAAATTCGGGTATTGTTTTCTTTATACCTTTAAGTATTATCATTGGTTCAATCCGTTTTTCCTCTTGTGTTTTGATGTTTGCGTTGTTTTGTAATTGTGTAACAGTATGCTTTTTATGCTCGTCTTTTTCAAAGACGAGTTTAATTTTGTTTTTGGAGAACGGAGTTACCTTTAAAGGGGCGTATCCGCCCTGTCGGAAGTTAACTGTTTTAGTTATCTGTGCAATTATCTGCTCCGCTGTATTGAGACCCTCTCCGGACACTACGACAGAAGGGCCTGCAGGGGGTTTGGGGGTGGCGGCGGCCTTGGCGTAAGATTGATAGATCCTATGCGGGTCCTACGCCGCTGGCATTAACCCCGTGGTTGCGGGTTTAGGACATGCCTTTAGGGCCCTAGTATGTTCCTGTAAGGCCTTGTTGGATTGCTCGAGTAACCGAGAGTGGGCCTCGAGTTTGTCTAGCAGTTGTTGTTGTGTGGTGTCATTAGTTGGTGTAACTGTGGTATTGGTGGCCTGTGTCGTGAGGGGTTTAGAAGGGGAGGGGGTGGAAGGGTCGAGCATGGCGATGACTCCAAAGAGGCCGTTTATTGCCTCTGTGATCGTGGTTTTGAGATCACCCTTTAAGTTGCGGGAGGCTAAAACTGCGTCCAGGCCTTTCTTTCTGTAGTCTCTCGCCATTTCTATGTATGTAGACTCCGCAGGGGGAGCTGAGCGGGTGAAAGACGGGCTCAGGGTGTCCACTAGGGACCGCCTGGCGGCTGCTGTGGTCATGTGAGGTGAAGGAATGTCAGATTTGGATGATTTGGGAGGGGTTCTGGGTAACATGTCTGCGGTGGGGGGTGAGGGGGGGCTAAAATGTGGACAGGTGTATACACCTCTTCGAGCTGAGTTGTTTGATACCCAACTCGAGGGGGTGAGGGGGAAGATTTTGTCGCAGTGGGGTATTGTATTGTGGGCTGGAGGGGGGTTTGTGAGAGGAACAATGTACACTATCAGATAGAGCTCGCCGAGCCGGTTTAAATAAGCCCAAGCTCGACGGGTTTTGGGTAAATATTAAAAAATATTAAAAATCGAAAAATATGGGGCTGGTAATCCACCCTACCTGATTTTACTATGAAGGATCGCTTGCTTGATAATCTTCGGAGGGTGCTGGTGTTTGGTATTTTCTGGAAGCCCTCGTCGAGGACTTTCCAGTGGAGATGGAGTTTGAGCTGTTCCAGCTGGTCGCCTGGTGACTTGGTGTCCAGTTGGGCAGGTGTAAATGTGTGCTATGAGATTTGTAGTTGATCCGATGGAGTCTTGAGCGGGCTGTTAGATGATAGTAGTTTCCGGTTTTTGAAAGGTGGGGATCCCCTGGAAACCCTGGATTCCAGGCTATTTCTGGTCGTAGCTCCTGAGTTGTTGGGCGAATGTTACCGATCCTGGTGTCAATCGATTGCTAATTTTTGTTCTCTGTCTTAGTGATAATTTTGTGTTTGTGGTGTAATGTTTGGGGGTGGTTCACACCCAAAAACCAGTTTTCTTCGGGTTTGATGGGATATTTATTAATGGATTTTCATAAAAGTTATGTCAAATGATAGCCCTTCGTCTAGCAAATCTTTGAGATATATTCACTTGTTTGTGTGTTTGTATCTAGTGTGGCTACAAGCTAGGAAGAAAATCCCAATAGTTTTTTCTTCCTTAAAAATCTGTTTTTTATCCAAAAATTTTGAACTTGGTATCAAGGAGGTATATAGGTCTTGAAAGGGGCTATCTAATTCACTTATAAAATTGTATTGTCACCGATCTTATTCAGAAGTTATTTACCTTTTAGCGGTTTTTCGGCTCTAAAATCCTGTTTTGAGTCCTTAGACTCAAATTTTTGGTTGAAATGTAGAGCGTAATTTGCTCTACAACAATAAACTGCACTATTAATTTTTAAGTTATAAACACTATTTTTAAAGTTGAAAAAACGGAAAATTTTAATGTTTATTTAAAAAATAAAATATAAAACGTAAACTTAGAAAACTGAATTTAGCACTAAAAGATAGATCGCGCGCATCTAACGATATGTAACACTTCACTAATATCTCACGAAATACCACTTTTTAGATTTTTTGAAACTTTTTAAGGCGCGGAGCGACGTGGATTTAGACCGTTTCGGGTGGCGTTTGGACGCGGACTGCGATAAAAAGGTTAGGTCAATGTACCTATAGGTGTTTAAGTAAAGGTTTACAAATTAGTTAAATACTTAAGCGGATGTAGAATAATAACGATGGGTGAGAGACAAAACAAGGAAAAATAAAATAATAATACTGGTTTTTTTCTGGTTTTTTAAATATAAAGAAATAAACAAACTAATCGTATCTTCACCTACATAGTAAATATAATAATTGAAAATGCATAAATAGATAGATAAAATGCATAATGCATAAATAGAAATTAAAACAAATTAGCTTTCACAACTTCACATCACAACTTTCCATATCTGTATTAATTAGTTCTCGCAGACGACCTACCTTCCTCAACAAGCTGGAGTCATCAAATGCCTTTCTTAGATTATCCCATACCTCCTTAGCCGTGGTGGCATCCTGGATATGAACATTGGTCGTAGGGTCAACAAGGGTCTTGCCTTCGTATCTTCGGTCTTCGTAAATGCCACGCCCGATGTCTCGACACATTTCCACAAATCTTCATGCTCCAAAAAGGTTTTCACCGCGAAACTCCATGTAGGATAATTATCACGGCCCGCCAAACGATCGATTTGAGCAAAGCTATGCGACCGGGGGTCCGCCATTGTAAGCTGAAAAATTAATATGACGACGCGACGGTCTAATATGATCACGCAATCAATTTGCATCAACCTGATGCCTTTCACTTTATTAATCCTACTTCCCTACTTCTATCCGGGCGTCTGTTCCCATAACCTGTTACAAACTATTTTTGAGTTAGAATTTAGAAATAAAATAAAACCGCGTTCTAATAATCTTCATCAGATTCATCTGATAAATCTTCGCTACTAACATCGCTATCATATTCATCTGTTTCACTTTCTTCACTCGTGATATCTGACTCTAAAATAAAATATACAATAAAAAAAAAAAAAAAAATTATTGTAAATATAATATACTATCAAAAATTATTGTTTAAAGAATGTAACAATAATACAATGCTACAATAGAATGTTACAATGCTATTGCTCGATTTTACATAATTACGTAAAAATATGAACTTAATAAATAATGTTTCAATTATTTTAAAAATAAAGTAAGTAAATATTTGATCGACTTACCTTTCATAAGACAAATATTTAGATTTCACTCAAATTCTTTGTAACAAGAGGAATGATAACCTATTAATTCGTCATTCCAATTGTCAGGCAATATAACATCTCGATATTTATGTTGATGATGCTTTCGAGCAGATAGAAAAGTTTTGCAAGAAAGCCAAAAGTCTTTATTACATTTCTTCACTTTTTCTCTTTTCTCTCGAAAAGTAGAGTTTTCACATAAAGAATTACACAAAAAACACTCCATAATTATTTTGCAGCACAAAAAACATTTCTTGACATTATTTATCAAAATAAAATAAAACACGTGGTCGACTGAGAAAATGTTTGCAGGCTTAGGGTCGACACTAACGTGGGATACCTAATTCGCAGTAAGTAAGTATTATTTTGTTCTAAAAGACATTATTTCGTAGAAAGCTTCTAAGAAGTTAAGTATTCTGTCCAGTTTAAAATAAATAAAATTACGGAATGCGTTACTTTCAACAATATTTAGGGGCAAATAAGTTTTACAATAAAGTCTACTACATTCTTGAAAGGCTGTTCAGATTTTTTGGCATACGTTGGTTTAAACAAAAGGGTTAGTTTTGTATTAGTTATTTCACTGGTTTTTCTATAGTAGTTCCAAATTTAAACAAGCGGTGTCCAAAGCAATATTTAGTTCCGTCAAAGAGTTTTCAGGCTGCGAACTAGCAGGCAGTGAAGGGCAAAAAGTAGAAGGCTCCACTAGATTTAGAAGAAGAAGGCTGCGATACGTCATCTTCAGTTTTAACGACTATCACCTTTCAAAAAATAAAAAAACAAACCACTTCTAGAAAAATTACTTTATTTATGAAATAAATAACTCAACTTATTATAAAATCAAAATATATCAATAAAATTGCAACTTCAACATAAACTATTTTATAAAATTAAATGAAACTTTGGTGATAAAGAATGCAATTCTTGCAAGCGGCACCTAATACCGAACGGACTCTTTTTTCATCCACCGCAGACATCTATTGGACAAATCTGTTACATGGTCCACTAGAACTTGTTCATACTCTTCTTAGTGAATCTACCCATCTTTGGTTGTTCTCTCACCCGAACAATTTGTCGCTGGTGTACGTACACATAGCCATGTGAACTGCTATATCCAAGTATGGATAAATGTTCTCCAAATTCTGATTTCGCAGAAATGATGATAGACTTTTCGATGATCCAGAATCTGGTTTTATCAAAATTCTTTCAGAAGAAAGGTCGCCTTGAAAGTGTACGCATTTCTGAACTAGTTCAGTTTTAGGCCATAAGGTCCAAAAGGGTGTCTCCTCTGGGATTGTTTCTATTGAAACGGCGGCCTCCCCAGCATGAGTGCCATGCGTCGAAATCCCCGCATACCATGGTATGTGTGTTTTTGTGGTGTAAAAGGAATTGCTCCAGCGCATGTATAGTGTCGTGGGCGTTGTTGTCTGGCTCAATATATACTGAGGCGACGTAAAGTTTAATTGTGGGTGTTGGTATTACAATAATTATTAAATTACAACTATAAACATGAAATTTGACATTAAATTTCGCAAGCATTAAATTTCGGTAGTTTAGGTCGTAATAAGACGGAAAAAAAATATATGGCATGAAAAACTTTGCTTTTGTGCTTAGAAGACTGATTGAACGAAATTTTTAAAAATCTCGGATTTTAATTTTTGATTGAAAATAAAACTATTGAAATAAAAATGTTTATTATTTTTATTAAGTTTTACTATCAAATTAGCTTACAGAAAAGTGGAAAATAACTTAAAAGTGCACACTTTTACTTTTTCTTTTATGTTCATAGCTACTTTCTCTCAATAAACCCCAAATATAGTCGCCCATCATGTTTTCATTGTATTGGCCTTGATAGCGTTGTTCAAAATTCATGATGTCCTGATGGAAACGTTCTCCTTGGTCTTCGGAATAGGCTCCCATATTGTTTTTAAATTTATCCAAATGAGCATGCAGCATATGTACTTTTAATGACATCCTGCAGCCCATGGCCTTAAAATTTGTAAGCATATCCTCAACCAACTTTTCGTAGTTTTCAGCTTTATTATTTCCTAAAAATCCAGAAACTACTGCTTTAAAACTGTTCCAACTTGCTTTTTGAGTACGATTCAGCAACGTTGGAAATTTTTCATCGGCTAAAATCTGTCTTATTTGCGGACCAACAAAAACCCCAGCTTAAACCTTTGCTTCCGATAACTTCGGAATTTTTTTTTTAAGTATCCAAAAGCTTCTGAAGTTTCATCCAGTTTTTTAACAAATTGTTTCATCAACCCTAACTTAATGTGCAAAGGCGGCATTAACACTTTTTCCGCTTCAACATGCAATCGGCTCAAATTTGACGTTTTGTTTTCCGACACACAATTCTGTTCTTACAGGCCATGACCGTTGAATATAGTGTTTAGAATCCGCTCTGCTATCCCACAAGCACAAATAACACGGATACTTTGTATATCCACCCTGTAGCCCCATTAAAAATCCCACCATTTTAAAATCTCCAATCAGCTCCCAGTTATACTCACGATACTTTACAGATTCAAGCAAAATTTTGACACTTTTATAATTTTCTTTAAGATGTACTGAGTGAGCAATTGGAAGAGACGGAAATTTATTTCCGTTGTGCAATAGAACTGCTTTTAAACTTTTTGTAGAGCTGTCAATGAATAAACGCCATTCGCTAGGGACACAGGGTATGCCAATTGCTTCAAACATACCTTTAATGTCATTACAAAAACAAAGTCCATTTCCTTCGTGAAAAACGTTGCAAACATTTCATGCCTAGTACGCTGATCCGTGATCTTAACATCATCAAGCAAATTCCACTGTTTTAACCGAGAGCCTAGAAGCTCTGCTTTATTTTTTGGCAAATTTAAATCTCTAATTAGATCGTTAAAATCTTCTGAAGTAATGAGATAGTGTTTTGGTTGTTCAGGTGTAGGCAAAAACTCCTTATCGGAATTACTTTTATAAGAACTAAAAGATGAGCTACTTTTCTGCGATAATTTTTTTGGTGGGTCAGGTACTGGTCGTGTCAGGTCGTGAGCAATTGGAGCAGAAGAAGATTCGAGGTCAGGATATTCAATAGGTTTTGCATTTTTACCTCTACGTCTTTTACTCGGATTCACCATACAAAAGTAGCAGTCAGTAATATGGTCTTTTGGTTCTCGCCAAATCCTTGGTATTGCAAATTTCATAGACCTTTTCTCACCTCGATACCAACCTAAAAATATAAAAATAAAAATTAATATGTCTATTATTTTGGATTCATCGCTTAATTAAATAAAAATTGCTTTCCTTCCAAACGCCTTTTACAATAACTACGAGCAACATGTGGAGCCCATGGCTTATCTTGATTCCGTACAGGACAGTCAAAATATGCTTCATAGGCTTCACAGAGAACGTGAGATGTCTTTAGTTCATATTTCACGTCTCGAACTTTAATAAATTGACCACATATAAAACAAAATGCATCAGCATCGTATTTGCACTTTCGTGACGACATTTTAAGTTATTCTGGGCTTGTAAATAACACCTGATGGTTGTTTATCACTCGGGTGCCATCTAGCGGCACAGTGTAAACGTTAATACCCGACTCTCACCGCGCGGTCTTTTTAAAAATATTAAAATCAATTAAAATTTATGAAAAAATTGAAAAATGAGTATTATTATTATAACTATCACAAAAGCAAACTTTATACCGAAAAAAGGTATTTTCTTTTCGTTTTTGTGCATAACTAACTGGAAAATAATAGTATAAACTTTAGGACAAAGAACGAAAATTTTTTTGTAGAGTCGTGTTATTTGTGCAGTATTGTGACAGCGCGTATGCGTTGATGCTTGATTTGGTGTAAATGCAGGATATAATAATGGATGACGTGAGCCTGATATAGTTCTTGACTTTAACAACACTTTTCACAACAAATAACCACAATTAATATTTATAAAAGCACTTAATGATTGTAACGTATACACTGTTTTAAGCTTGACACTTGACCAAAAATCTTAAATGCACGTTCTTTTGAACGGATAACACTTTCACAGCATCCCGTACGCTAGGTGATAACATAAATGTACTTTAAACTATAAATCTCAAGTAAACAGATTTTAAAATGATTAAATACGCGGACCCGATATTGTTGTGACTTGGTTGCGCCTGACGTTTTTCTGTACTGTATGAATGCGATATCGGTGTTTTTGTTGATGAAGTTCATTTTAAATTCGTGGAAACTATTGCGAGACCTATCTAGGTTCGCTTATGTTAGCTGTTAATTTGTGTAGTGACATATTATAGGTAGTTTACCTGTTTGCGCATGTAGGGCCGTGGCGGGGCACCTCGACTGAGAGTGTCCGCAGCCTTGGCACATTCTACATTGCATGAAGCGCCCAAAGTCTTCCACGTGCACCCGTTGGTAACTCACGTTAACGCGGCCTAAGTCAATCAAAGCTCTCCACGCTGTGGGTGACGTGTCTACATAATTTTTCATTTCTGTTTTTCTAATAGATTTTATAGTGAAGTCCTGTGAGCGGAGTGTGGCGTTTTGGTCTTTTAGAGTCTGTATTATTTCGGTTTCGGGTAGGTACCTCCTTAGAGATGCCCTTAACCGAAATAAGCGGGTTGTACCTCCGCTCCTCCTGTGCTTTAATTGCATTTGTGGTCTTAATAGCCGCGAGAGCAAGAAAATCGCTAGGGGAAGTTTTATTCCACAAACAACAATGTATAAACTTCCTTTTTTGATGGCAAATCCTTTTTCTTGTTTATAATTATGTCCATTGCTGGAAATTTACTATCAAAAGTTCCTTCATAGCAAAATGTGTTTAGATTGATAAATATTAATATTTTGAATAAAATCTATAAAATTTGGAAGATCTTGCGACATATTGAAAGGTTTTAAACCTATGCGAGTAGGTGAGTGCAAAAAAATTATAAAGACACTACTATTAGATGTATAATTACAAAAGAAACCTTTCTTTCAAATAATTGAATCGAATAGCTAGTGGTGGAACATTACATTCAATCTGTAATGCATTTACAGGAGTACTTCTAAATGCCCCAGTTATTACACGCAAACACTTATTTTGCAAAATATTTAAACTATTTACAAGTTTAGTAGTTTATCTGCAGCAAAACAGTAAAAACCATATTTAAAGTGACTACGAACTAAAGATTTATGCAACAATAACAAAATTGTAGGGTCTGCACCCCAGGGTGTGTGACCCTATATGTACCACTCAAGGATTTCAATATATTGTAGGCTTTATTAGCCCTACCAATTAGGTGTTTTATATAAATATTCCAGGTCAAATTATATGAAAAAATCACTCCCAAAAATTTTACCTCAAGTGTAATAGACAACATACAATTGTTATACATCACAGCAGGAATACTATGATTCTGTTTACCAAATATAACCACTTTAGATTTAAGAGGATTAACACAAAGATCAAGGCAACAGAAATATTTGAGGAGAGAAAGGACTTATTTCCACCTTATCAGATTTTTAAATAAATGCTAAAAACTTCTACGTTATTAATTTGTGTTTTATACATTTTTTTTTCATGTCACCATGAAAGAAGATCACATTTAAGTAATTCTGACACTAGCACATTAATTCTAAAAAATATGTATAATAGTAAAACCTTACTCAAAAATTTGGATATAAGTCACTTTGTTCAGGACTACAGGAAATAAGTCACTTTGTTAGGTACTCTAAGGAATAAAGCCTTTTTGTTTTGGCCTTGAGAAACAGACGTTATAATATGTGATATAAATTTAATGGAAATAAAAACAAATTAATTATTAGGAATAAGGAATTTTTTATTGACTCACAAGTCACAACACATAACCTATTAAATACGTACTTCACCTACATCTGGATCTAAATAATTACAATCTTCCTGCTCGCAATGTGTCGTCACATTATCTTCTCGGGCAACTACCCTGTCATTATGCAATATATTGTTGAACCACTTTAACTCATCTATTTTCTCCCATGTTTCTCCAAATTGCTTTACTAGTAATGCAAGAACATCATTTTTTTAATTAGCATTTAAAGGTTTTGTAATCGCTTCCATCACAGAGAGCTCTGTAAGAAATTCTCTTCCCCTTTTTCAAAAGAGTTTCACTTTGTTTTTCTTCTCCAAATATGTAGTTCTCAAAACCCAATACAGCACAGCCTTTGATATTTTGGTTTCTTCCACATATTTTTTTGTATGAAAATTCTTTTTAAACTTTGTATTCGTTCAATCTTTTTCAAATGCTTATCCAGTTCTTTGACATTGAAAATTTTCCAATCTCTGTTTAGAAGTCTAAGATCACCATGGTTTTTATATATTTCATAATAACCTTCATGGGTTGTGATAACAGGAACTTTTCTGAACTGTTTTTCAAGTCTCCCAAAGACCCTGTCCGCAGGCAGAAAACTGTGCCCACGGACTGGAAAATACAGTTTTATTTCCATAATATTTTGTGGTGACTTTGCGTAAAGCCATTGCATCAAAGTATGGAGGACAATGCTGTTCTTATTTTATCCTCCACAACCATCACAGAACAGTCTTATGGTGTGGATATCGCTGGCAATGTTCATATTGGTCAAATAATCATAGAGCGCTGAGCTTATCTCTGCCGATCCTCTGCCTGTGTTTCATCCCACATATAAAACTTAGGATCTTTAGAATCTAGTGGCACTATGCATAAATTATAAAGGCTCACCTGACGGGCATAAATCGAATCTTGAATGGGCGTTTTAGGCAACGCTTGAACCTGTTGCATATCAAAACATAACGACTTGGTGTTCTGGGGCTTTTCCCTAATAAAATCATAAAATGCTTTTGCGCGTAGATTGTGAACTCTCTTCTGTACCATTAATTCTTGCTTCTTCTGTTGGTCCTTTTCTATTTTGATCCTATTTCCCCATAAAGTGCATGCATTGCAGACGTCTGATGATGGTGTAGAAAATTCCAAATTGTATAAAACAATCCCCGTTTTACTTGTCGGCGCTCAGCGACTGATTCATTATAAAGTTTTAGTAACTTTCTCACATATAATTCAGAATTTAAATCCTTTGGACTTTTCTCGGCAGAACACACATTTTTTTATATTCACTTGAATGATCATAGCGTTAGAATATCATGTTTGGATGGACCTTTTCAAAGCGAAGGCATTTAATTTTCAACCATGAAATTTTTTGTCCTTCTGTGTCATCTATTCTTGATAGTAGCTGCAGATAATGCGTGCAAGTTCCAAAATTCATCAAATTTCCATTCATTTACCTTGTAGGGCTTATTGTTAATGTCTTCTCTTTTAGATCGTGCCATCCTGAACACCTCTACCCAGTCTCGCATCATGAAGATTTCTCTATGTTTCTTAGCATTTTCTATGGCAGGTATATCAGGTGAAATGGATACGGTATTTCGAGGCTCGTTGGTTTCGGAGTCAGAATTTTCTTTTTCTGGTTCTACACTTTGTACTGTCGGTCGTTCATTGAAATATTTTTTCAAAAAATGTAATTGTTCATAGTACTTGTATAATTTAACATTGGTCTTCTTTTGTCCACTTTTAGTTTCCGTCTTCTTCAACGATTTTCGATAGTTGTCTCTTATGTTATTCCACCGTGTTTTGCATGTTGAACCTGCAATGAAAATAATATTATACATAGATTTATTTGTTCCAGGTATCTAACAACAGGGGATTCTCTGAAGACAATTTCATTTAGTTACCGCTTGGGCCACAGCACAGCATATTCCATAGTTATGGAAACATGCAAGATAATAAAGGAAACTCTGATGAGTGAAATGCTACCTTTGCCTACAGAAGATAAATGGAAAATTATTGCCAATGACTTTAAATTGTTGTGGAATTTCCCTAACTGTGTCGGAGCACTGGATGGTAAGCACATAACAATTCAGGCTCCCTCGAACAGTGGATCTCTATATTTTAATTACAAGAAAACATTTTCAATTGTTTTGATGGCCCTTGTGGACGCGAACTATAATTTTATTGCCGTTGATGTTGGGTCTTATGGCAAAAACAGTGATGGTGGCATTTTTGCAAATTCCAACCTAGGAAAAAGACTACAGCAAGGAACTTTAGGTATACCTGGAAATTCTCCGTTGCCAGGAACATCAATAGAAACACCACACGTGATTGTGGGAGATGAAGCATTTCCTCTCAAAACATATTTAATGCGACCTTATCCAGGGCAAAATTTGAATGACGACAAGCGCATTTTTAATTATCGTTTATCAAGAGCAAGAAGAATTCTTGAAAATACTTTCGGTATATTAACACAAAAGTTTAGAATATACAATAGACGGATCCAAGCTAACCCAGAAAATTTAGATAATATAGTACTCGCTACTTGTATTTTACATAACTTCATCAAATATTTCAATTCAAATACAACACATGCATTAGATTATGAGGGTACTAATCAACCTACAAGCAGTTTACTGGAAACTGTGCAACCTCAAGGCGGAAACGCCACCGCGGGCGCATTTCACGCATTTCACGAAGTATTCAAAAATTATTTTATTTCTGAGGCAGGATCAGTACCCTGGCAAGAAGATAAAATATGATTTGTACTTTGTCTATTAAAATAAAGCAACTTACTTACACTGTATTATTTTATTTTAAAACTAGCGGCCCAGCTCGACTTCTCACATGTTGTATTTCAAATGCAACAATCTTTTTGCGTCGGATTACTATAAAATCTACTATCTTTTAAAATCGGTCCAATAGTTTGTAGGTTCAAACACATAGACAAAAATCTAATCTTTCCTCTTTACAATAGCACTGTAGATAAGTAAATTTTGACTTACCGTCTACATTCATTTGTGTTCCTATTTTGTTCCACAAATTGTTTTTGTATTTTGTATCCATATACTTTGCATGAGATAAATCATACAAAACAGTATTCTCACGAACTAATTCAATCAACACCTCGTCCTCCATTTTGTTTTCGATGCAGCGGCGTCAGTGATCCGTGATAAAATATCGTTGTCGCCGATCACGTCCGTGATGGCCGGTGCCGGCACTGACACTGACGGTACTGAGACGACACTGACAAGTGTGAATACATCCATAGAGAATGTTTGAAAGAATAATTATCACTGATGCGGTACTGTGCCGGAACTGTGGGCTAACTGATATGTGTGAATAGACCTTAAAGGTGTTGGGTGTTTTTTGATTGCCCTCGATGAGAACTAGCCGATGGTCTTGGTGCTGGAGCTGTTCCAGCTGGTCACCAGAAAATCTGGGGTCCAGCTCAGTGGATGGGAAATTCTTCAGTATAAATTGTATGTTGTCTAGTAGTATTCCGGACGGGCTATATGGTGGTTGTGATCTTTGATTTTTGGGTGGTCTGGATCCTTTGGATATCACCGTTTCCAAATTATTTCTGGTCGTAACTTCCGAACTATGATTCTGATTCTTTGGAACTTTGTGTCAGTTGGTTCGTAATTTTTAACTTGTCTATGGTATGTATAAGTATTGTGCATTTGGGTTCGGGGCTGGTTCACACCCAAAAACGGTTTTCCTTCGTTTCGAGGAGATATTTAAAAGCGGATTTCCTTGTGTGATACGTCAATCGATAGCTCTTCGTCTAACGGATTTTATGAACGTGTTTACTTGATTGTATCTTGTGGGGCCGCTGGCTGGGAGGCAAAACCCCTTTTTTTGTTGTTTTTGGTCTCTAAAAATTTTGTTATTCGGTCCAAAATTATGAAATTGTAAGTAAAATTATAAATTACTAGCTGACCCAGCAAACGTTGTTTTGCCATATAAATAATTTCCTAGTAATTTCTAGTGTAGACAAAAAATAGCTTACTTATTGTAAGTATGTATGTATGTTAGAATGTGTATATTGTATGTATGTAAGAATGTGGTATATGCGTGAAATAAGCATGGAGCGCTGTGAACGATGAGGGAATATAAAAATAACAAAAGGCAAACATTATTTTTAAGTTATTATAATTTATTCCTTAAAATTATATATCATTAATTAAACAATTACGACAGTAACACTATTAAACAATATCAATCTCTTAATGCTATAGCGTGAACAATATTTTTTGTTAGTCCATCTTTAACTGACAAACTGGATGGTTTACCCACTCGAGAGCATGCCACGTATAATTGTCCGTGTGAAAAAAATGGTGTTCTCAAATCTAATCCACAAACAGACATCGTTTGACCTTGGGATTTGTTGATAGTCATTGCAAATGCCAATCTAATCGGAAACTGAATACGTTTGAATTGAATTGGCACATCTGTAGGTATAATAGGAATCCGTGGTATGAGTATATTTTCACCTCTGAACTTGCCATTTAGGGTCCGTTCACACAGACCGGCTCGGAGAGCATCGGCCTGCTTTTTTCTTTTCACACAGACCGGGTCGTATACGCTTGGAATTGGCCGGAGCGGAGCCGCCAACTATTTCACATCGACCGGCTGGAAGAGATCTGAAAGCGGGTGCGGTTGGATGTGCTCGGAGCCGGTCGGATGCGCTCGGAGTCGGGTGGATACACTACAAAGGCAGTGCCAGTATTCCGCGCAGTCTAAGTTTTGTTTTCGGTGTGTTAACGTGTGCTTTTCGAAACATGGATTTAGATAGCTCCGACGAAGAAATATATTTGTTAGCAAGATTACTTGAAATAGAACATAGGAAACGTAAGCGCAAGCGGAAACAAATATGGGTAAAACATATTTGGAAAAACAGACTAATCCATGGGGAGTTTCACACCATTTTCGAGGAATTGAAGAGAGATAGCCTAAAATTTTATGAGTATTATCGTATGGAATATTGGCAATTTTTGAAATTGACAGATTTGTTAAGAGTACATATAACAAAAAAGACTACAAATTATCGTTGCACCATTACAGCCGAAGAAAGGTTAACGGTAACTTTAAGGTAAATAAAAAACAATTATTTATACTAATCATGTTATTTAGATCACAAAATCACAGCCCTCCATTTATTAAGCATTGTTTACGTTAATGAAATGTAAATTACTTATACTAATCATGTTAAATAACACAAACATCTAAATAGATCACAAAATCACAGCCCTCCATTTATTAAGCATTATTTACGTTAATGAAATGTAATTAAATAGTACAGATTTGTGTGTGTTTAATTATTATTATTATAATTATTATTGTTTTTGATTGTTTATTATTTTGTATTTTGTGTGCTGGTATTGTACCCGCAAGTAGTCTGATCTGGATAGTTTTGAGGAATATAGGTTTCGTTTGACACTAGGTAAGTAGATTGATTAGTCGATGGCGGTGAATTTATAGACAAAGAATAATTCAAATCTGTACTATTTTCATACAGACTTAATTCAGCTTCATTAACAATGTTAAACACGCGCCTTTTAATTCGTGCTTGGACTTCTTTTGGGAATGTTTCCACTGTATCTGACATAGACAAAAAAAAATTACGTAATGCCTTGTCACGGGGTGTAGTATTTCTTTTTTCTTCAAGATACTCTTCGAAAACCGTAGCAACATCTTTGCTTAAGCGTGGTCTCTTTTTCGAGCCAGAAGTACTTGCAAGCGATTCAACTTCAGAATGGTCAGAACGTTTAGATGATGTCGATGGTGGTGGTATTGGTGTGCCAGGCTCTGAATCATCCGATGATAATGTTACATTAGATATTTGGTTTCGATTGCGAAAAAATGGTATTATAAAAGAAAGTTCTTTTTCAAATTTTATCAATTTGGACGTAGTTGCACCATCGCCACTCTTGCCTTTTCGGTTATAATAGGCTTTTCTGAAGTTATCTCGCAGTTTCTTCCAACGATCCTGGCACTGCGTCACTGGAAAGAACAGAAATGAAAAATTAATAACATAACTCTTTTTTTATTTTATAGTTCGTTTTGGTACGGCAGTCTTATATTTCTATTTTGTGTGTTTGTTTTATTTTTACAGATTCCTCATCACTGGTTGCAGTTTCAAAAACTTGTCATTTAATTTTCGAATGGGAATTTCTACAGTTCATTCAATTATTCATGAGACAATCAGAGTAATTTGTGATGTTTTGATGCCCATAGTTATGCAGATGCCAGATGAAGAAATGTGGGAAAAGGTTTCACGTGATTTCTTTAATATTTGGAATTTTCCTAACTGTTTGGGCGCTATAGACGGAAAGCATGTCAATATACAGGCACCAGATAATAGTGGAAGCTTATACTATAATTATAAAAACTTTTTCAGTACAGTGTTACTAGCTGTGGTCGACGCGAAATACAGTTTTTTAATTGTTGATGTCGGATCATATGGTAAAAATAGCGACGGCGGAATTTTACAGAATTCAAAATTTTGGAAAAAACTCAACACCAATAAGTTAAAGCTGCCCCCAAATAAACCTCTACCTAGTACCACTGAAAGCTTACCACATGTTTTTATAGGAGACGAGGCATTTCCTTTGAGCAATAATATATTGCGGCCGTATCCAAGAGAACAAGCAAGAACAGAATTATCAAAAAAAGTATTTAATCTGCGTTTAAGCAGGGCAAGAAAAGTCGTAGAATGTGCATTTGGAATGCTAACTCAAAGATTTGAAATTTATCAAAAACGAATGAAAATTCAGCCGAAGTACTGTGATTTAATTATATTAGCAACTACATGTTTACATAATTTTTTAATAGAAAATCGGACGCCAGGACAAGAGAATGAATTTCACAGCAATATAAATTTATTAACAGCAATAACAGACAATAATAATGAAAACAGTTCTAATAGCGACGCAGTTCTAACCACAAGGAATAAATTTAAGGATTATTTTTCATCAAGTGGTGCTTTAGATTGGCAAGATCAAGTGGCTACGCGAGTTTCTTAAGTTATATTTAATAAAAATTGTCTACTACATAAGTATATTCTAACGATCAGATACTCAAACGAGTTTTTAAAGTAAGGGCGCATTTAAACTCATGTTATTCCTATTTTGACTTTGAATCTAACACGTCGCAGCACGAGTTTAAGAAGCCCTTGCTTTAAAATTCGTTTGAGTATCTGGGGGTAGGTGTAAAACAATGAAAACCTTACTTACCACTTATTCCGAGACATTTGCTAATTTCCTCCCATGCATTGTCTTTCATTATCCGATCGCTATATGATGGCTTGGTTATGTCAAATAAACACTCATATTTTGACACGAGTATTATTAATTTTTCATCATTCATCTTTTCGTACAAGTACGCACAACTATTACGTTCAAATGTTGCTATCAAAATGGCGGTCGGCGCGGCCTGCAGCGGGCACGCAATCGGAGCCGATCGGCTACGCGATAGAGAAAGAGCACGCAATCGGAGCCCATCGGCTGCGCGAGCGAGAAAGAGCACGCAATCGGAGCCGACAGGCTGCGCAAGCGAGAAAGAGCACGCAATCAGAGCCGATCGGCTGCGCGAGCGAGAAAGAGCACGCAAGCGGAGCCGGTCGGCTCCTTTATTACTTCACACGAAGCGCGTTCAGGCATTTTTAATGACAAAAAAGGTGCAAATGCAAAAATAAACTTTACTACAATCACTCAAAACACTGTTTCCAACGTGATAAAAATCTGCTCTCCTCTCCGAGCCGGTCTGTGTGAACGGACCCTTAAAATCCTGGCTTCGATCACGTTTTTCATAAATTTTTGAATGACTAATCGCGTACCGTTGCACAGCCGGGGCGGGTTCAAATTACGAAGCAAGATAATTGGAGATCCAACCTTTAATTGTAAATTATGCGGTGGCATTACTGGCAAATCCAGTAAGTTCAAAAACTCTGTGGGAAAATTTACTGCTTCGCTGTCGTCGCAAACTGTATCAATAGATTTATATGATACCAAGTTCCCTGGCAACAACATTTGTATCTTCAGATTTAAATTGTCAACGTCTACATTTTTTGCCGCTAAAATCGCTCTTTCTGCAAGCCCATGATTGCAAGACTTTCGATAGAGACCGTGTCAAAA